TTCCCCCGCATGCCCCATGTTGCCTTCTCCTGCTGCCACTGCTCCACTAGCCCTTGGGCTGTCAGTGAAGCATATGGAGCTGACCCCATAACAGGGAATAAAATCCACTGGCACATTGGAGGGGCTGTCACAGGCCAGCAGCCTCCTGGGCTGACAGGGCTCTGAGCTGCAGCTGCAGGTGGGAGGAGAGGCGGGAGTGGGACTGCAGCATCTGTTAAACAGAGAACGAGAGCGGCAAACACTCCACTCGCCCATGTGTCACTTGGAGAACCCAGCTCAGAATGGCTCAGCTGCCTGGGGAACAGCGGCTGGGGTAGGCAAATGGAAAGGGATGAAAGGCCAGAGACAGCTCCAGGGTCTTAGTCCTAGTGCTGGGAAGGCTTCTGGGCTCTCCGTGTAGAGAGATTCCAGTGCAATCAGATTAAGTATGTAACAGACTCCGTGACTCCCTGGCCCCAATCCCAGCTGCCCCATCAGGCTTTGGGGTTCTGGACAGGACTTTGGGTGTCCGGTCAGTAGATCTGACCCGACACTGTCAGATCCCCTTTTCGACTGGACTTTCTGGTCAAAAACCGGACACCTGGCAACCCTAGTCTCCCCAGCGTGCAAAGGACCCACAGCCTGAGTCTCTCTTAGGCAGTTTTATTTGCCAAGCGGAAGCCAGCAGAACAGACAGTTCCACAAGTCGCCCTGGGCTACAACTCCCAGAGCATTCTTCCCCGGCACCACTCAAGTTCTCACTGCCTCCCCTCCAATAGCCCTGCTCCCTGCAGCTTCCTACCTCAGCCTCACTGGCTCTCCCCTGCCCCAGGGCCAGGGCCAGGGCCAGGGCCTCTTTCAAAGCCCCATCTGAATCAGCACAGGTGTTCTGGCCCTGCTCCCTCTTAAAGGGCCAGTTTCACCCTGTGACATGCAGGTTCAATGGGTAGGGCCAGATGAGATGGCATCAGATCCACATTGCCATGTGCCAACAGCTACTGTAACCTTGTGCTTTGAGAGCTGTGTAGCCATTTAAAAGGCCTAATTGGAAGTTTCTACTTGAGCATGCACTTCTCATTGGAGGCCTCTGGTCCCGGTACCACTTTGGGAACTGGAGATAAAGCACTTGAAAGCATAATGGTGCAACCTCTTCCCTGGTGAAACAGAACCAGCTTCAGTGGGCTTACACTGGGGATGAGTAAGGCCCCATGTCTCACCGTACTACAGAAACAAGTGCACTGTATCGCCGGTGACACTCCACCCCAGAGATGGCTGCATTTCAGAGGAGCTGTATGTATCTAGCGTGTGGAGTGCTTTGGGATCCTTTGGGCTGGAAGGATCGAAAGAAGTGTAAATACTGTAATTAACTGTAGGGTGAACGTGTGAGTTATTGCCACCTTGTGGTTGGAGACCACACTTCTGTAGTTAGAAGAAAAGGAGGACTTAAGCCACTATCAGAGGCTCATTCACCTGCACATTTACCTTTGTGATATATGCCATCGTGTGCCAGCAATGCCCCTCTGCCATGTACATTGGCCAAACTGGACAGTCTCTACGTAAAAGAATAAATAGACACAAATCAGATGTCAAGAATTATAACATTCAAAAGCCAGTTGGAGAACACTTCAATCTCTCTGGTCACTCGATTACAGACCTAAAAGTTGCAATTCTTCAACAAAAAAACTTCAAAAACAGACTCCAATGAGAGACTGCTGAATTGGAATTAATTTGCAAACTGGACACCATTAATTTAGGCTTGAATAAAGACTGGGAGTGGATGTGTCATTACACAAAGTAAAACTATTTTCCCATGTTTCTTTCCCGCCCCCCCCCCCCCCCTCGACCGCCCCGACCCCTTACTGTTCCTCACATGTTCTTGTCAATTGCTGGAAATGGCCCACCTTGATTATCACTACAAAAGGTTTTTTTCTCTCCTGCTGGTAGTAGCTCACCTTACCTGATCACTCTGGTTACAGTGTGTACGGTAACACCCATTGTTTCATGTTCTCTGTGTATACAAAATCCTCCCCACTGTATTTTCCACAGTATGCATCCGATGAAGTGAGCTGTAGCTCACGAAAGCTTATGCTCAAATAAATTTGTTAGTCTCTAAGGTGCCACAAGTCCTCCTTTTCTTTTTGCGGATACAGACTAACATGCTGCTACTCTGAAACCTGACTTCTGTAGTTGTGGGGCTTATGACGCACAGATGAGGAGATTCCCGTTAGCTCAAAAGTTAGGGGCAGATGCTTTTGGAGCAGTCGGCTCAGTGTTCCATCCTGGTAATCGCTGTGAAGTTCTGAACAGCTGGGTACGCCAAACCAGAGATCAAAGGCTACCGCTGATTTGTTAAATATTACAAGTCAACCCCTGCAGAGCCTTCTCCCACACTGAGGGGAAGCTCAGAGCTGTGCGAGAGAGATGCCTTCACAGCTAATGCACTCCTGACCTGCATTCACCTGCCTGATGAAGTTTAGTTCAATTAACCTTGTATCAGCTTTTAATCCAGACTTGTGGGCTCCCTCTGGGGCTCCTGGGGGCTGCTTCTGACCAGCAAATTCAGACTGTGTTCACAAGGGACGAGGCACATGGGTGGCCAGGGATGCTTTGCTCGCTGCCCTCGAACCCAGAGGCGCATTGGTCGCAGTTCCTTCCTGCCTTAGCCCCAGGCCCCTGCTGCGCGGCCGACCTGACTTTTAACGGCCCGGTTGTCAGTGCCAACCGGAGCCGCCAGGGTCCTTTTCAACGGGGCGTTCCGGTAAAAAAACGGACACATGGGAACCCTAATCCTCAGCCAGAGACCCCACAACCAGCTCTGCTCCCAGCTCTTTTATTTCCCTGCCCCCAGTCCCAGCAGGCCCTGCCGACAGTTCCCAGGGGCCCTCTGGGAATTGCACCACCCAGAATCTCGGTTCTGGGCTGAAATGGGATGAGGGCCGAGCTTGGCTGGAGTCTCCCTTAAAGGGCCGGCCTGCCCTGTCACAATCTCTAGTGGCAACATGGACGTTAAATGATTAGCCCGCTGCAAGTCAGTGGCAGAGCCAGTCCCAGAAACCAGATCCCTGACTCTTGGTCCCCTGGGCTATCCACAAGCCCAGCCAGCTTTGCTACAGCACCTCGGGATAAGAACAGATAACATGGCTACTGCCAGCGTGTGTTTGTGACAAGGGCTCTGCAGCAGGCATTGGCTTGGCTTATAGTATCTCTGCAAAACACTGGCAGGTTAATTACCCAGGGCCTGATCCTGCTAAATGCTGAGAGCCCTGATAACCCACTCAAAACAATGGGAGTTGGGGTGCTCCTTGGCTCACAGCAGTGGATCCCCCAGCATCCAGATGGAAAAGGGGACCAGAGGAGTAGTACGTTTCTGAAGAGCACGGTATTTTCCCTTAAATAATACAAGGGGAGAAAAGTGCAGGTGTAGAGATGTTACAGGGAGATGAAGACACCAGCTGGAGAGATAATAGACATGGTCTGGGATTAAAATGCTTTTCTTCATGGGCCCAAAGCTACAAATCTGGGGCTACCTCCTGCCCTTCACCTACAGGTGAGCAGCAGCATGGGTTAATGGGTAGTGCACTGGGCTGGGACTCGGGGGATTACGTTTTGAGTCCTGTCTCTGCTGTGTAGTCTTGAGCAAGTTACTACCCCCCTCTGTGCCTGTTTTCCCATCCGTCTTGTCTAGACTGAGAACTCTTTGGGAGCTGCGGCTGTCTCTCGTGATGTGTATGTACAGTGCCTAGCATAATGGAGCCCTGATCTCACTTGGGTCTTCTGGGTGCTGCTGAAATAGCAAATAATAATGGGCTGTTCCCACCATTGTAAATGGGAGCAATATGTGACCTGCAATCCCTGGCGTGGTGGCTCTGGGAGGTGCATCTTTCTTCCACAGAGAACATGAAACACTGGGTGTTACCATAAAGCTTATGCTCTAATAAATTGGTTAGTCTCTAAGGTGCCACAAGTCCTCCTTTTCTTTTTGCGGATACAGATTAACACGGCTGCTACTCTGAAACCTCGGAAGAATCTTTCTTCCGTTAATTCTCCTGCCAGCGCAACTGCGGAGCAGCAAATACATGGTAGAGAGTTTCACGGCAGGGGTGTGTGTGTGGCCAGTAACAGCCCTCAGCATTTTCACAGGGGATGGTCAGTGTCCCCGTCCACTCTGAGTAGCGGTAATGTCTTATCCAGCACCCTCCATCCCAAAGCACTTTGCAAACTCAGCAGCTGGGCGTGCGCCCATTGACTTCAGTGACCAATTTCCCACTGAGCTCAGCATAGCAGCTTCACGGCCTTTATGTGCAGGAGTCACTTCACCCATCACGGACATGAATGCAGCTGCGGGGCGGCCCAGGAGCTGTTCTGCACGACACAGCACAGCCGCATTACGCTATAGCTTAGAGCTGGGCTCGAGTTGCAAAATTCAGGTGCAGATCTCAAAGTCTGGGAGTGTTCTGATCTAGGGGTGTTATAAAGAGAGGGGGGATTTGTGAAAATCAGATCTGGCTTTCACAGACCCCACAGTTCTGGGATGTTCAGCTCTCAGTAAAGTGAAACTTTTTGTGGAAAGTGTCAGCTGGACTACATCTCCCATGATGCAGCATAGTCATGCAACCGCCATGATGTCTGCCCTCCTCTCACTAAGAGGGGAGACTATGGTGTATCATGGGAGATGTAGACCAGGCACTATGCTGGCATTTCCAAATCCAAATATTTCAATGAAAACTCACCATTTTCCACAGAAAAAGGCCCCATTTCTTATTGTTCACTGCTTAGATGCTGGATACCCTAAGATAGCTGCAACCCGCACTGGGAGAGTGGAGGTCTTTGTCCCCAACTAGTGACTGCTCTAAAAATTAGACTTATGAACCTGCTGAAGATAGTGGCTTGCCAGGCTTAGACCTTTAGTTCGAGCAATAGTGTTTCCTTCTTTTAGAGCTGAAGGACATTGATTCAAACCCAGCTATCAGTTACGAACTGCCACAACAGGGCGAAGGAAAAGAACACACACAGATTTGGGCTCTGACATCAGTGACCTTTAATGACAAAGAACCCACGGTGACAAAATAAAAAACAAACAAACCCAGGCATAATGTGATCGTCGTAACACCTCACGGGACTGGTAATACTTCAGGAGTAAAAGCTTTTTGTTTTGTTCTGGTCTTTAATGCACTGTAGTAGTTATAACTTAAATGTGGTCGGCACCCCTTGCTGTGCCTGTGAAACTTAAACAAGTATATAAAAATATGCCATTAAATTCATATCAACAATCAAAGACTTGAGAACACTATGTACAGAGGCGGCAATATATACCAATATTTACAGTACGTCTCAGCGGGATCTCTCACCAAACAGAGAAATAAAGCCAAGAGAACAGAGTCAAACAGGGAGGGGAGTGAGCATGGGAGACTGTGCCTTGCTTTGCCTGTCCTCTCCTCGGGTGCATCTCAGGTGCAAATGCCAGTCCCTTAGTTCTCTATGGAGTAGCAGCAGCATACTCCTCAAAAGAAAGACCCAGGGCCTGGCTGGAGGAGCCAACCGCACCCGCCTGGCATATGGGTGGTATCAGCAGTGATGTTTGAGCAGTTTGTGGAGTGGGGGTGCCGAGAGCCATTGAACAAAACTGTAAACCCTGAATATGATGGAAACCGCTTCAAGTGGGGGGTGGTGCCGCACCCCCAGTTCCAGCACCCCTGGGTAGCAGGGATTGGCCCTTTGATGGATCACACGCAACTCTGCCACCATTGCGTCTCTAGACTGCGCCGGGAGACGGCACGGTCTGGGAGCCTGGCCTCACTCGCGGCCATTGATGAATGGAGCTCCTTTCTACCTCTCTGCCAGGGGGAGCAGCAGTGGTCTGCACCGCTGTGTGCAAGCGGCGTCCCCTAGTGTTTACAAATGGGAGGGACTTTGCTTTAAGGGCAAAAGGCAAAGAAAATATTTACAGCGTCTTTCACAGGACGATGGGATCTGAGCTGCAGGCCTCTCTATGTCCTGTAGGTATTGACAGGCCCACATCGCTTTGGGAAAGCCTCACAGTCACTCACGGATTTTACACGCTTCGAGGCGGGTCCCTGAGCCTGCAACTGAGCTGATGGGGGAGGGGAGGAGAAGTGATTTTTGGACAGATCTAAGAAACAGCATCCTCTCAGTGGTGGGAAGGGAGCCCCGCAGTGCCGCATGACATCGCCACTCCGGCCGGCCAAAGACCTTGCCAAGGTCCTCCAGCCATGCGAGGGCTGGGAGGAGCTGAGATGTCAAATGGAAAAGAACCAGGAGAAATGCCTCCCTGCACCTTTTCCAGACACAGTTGGGTCACCAAGGAGCAGGCAGGAGTGAGCGAACACGCCTTTGGTTTTGCTTGTCAGTTCACCTCTAGCCAGCAGAATGAATCCTTCGGTTAGGATCATTAGACACTTTTCTAGGCTTAACTGAAGCTGAAGGTGGGCTGGAAAACACATATGGCACATACATTCCTGGAATGGTTGGAGATCCGATAGCAGCAGAACCCTGCACTGAGAGACTGAACAATTCCTACAGTTTCACCCTGCGGGACATTGGTGCGCTGGGCAGGAACGCAGACTCTGACCCCCATGGACCCTTTTGGCCTTGAAAGATAAGAATTTATTTGAAGACAGAGCTGGTTGAAAAGAGGGGGGAAATTGCCCCAAACGTCCCAATCCCTCTGACCCCCTGCAAAAACATTTCAATCAGCTCATTTCAACTGGCCCCTCCCTTTGCTCACATGCTCTATCCCAGCTCAAACTTCGGTTCTTCCCTGCAGCCATCAATCTCACCACAAACACCTTAACCAGAGGGCAGGATGGCGGTACTCGGCGTGTGACACCGGCAACCGCACCGGGGGAAACCTGGAACGTGACCTTGGGGCCCAATCCTGAACAGGGACTCTTTATTTCCATGGGAGCGAAGGGTACTCAGCTGCTCCCAGAAGACTGAGCCAAAGTCCCTTGACGTCAATAGACAGACTCTCAAGACCTTCTACAAACAGCTGAAGAGGGAGGGATTTTCATTCTGGTTTTAAGATCTACTTGCCGGCTTTAAGACTGTACCCAGTCTCAGCAGCTGATCTAACAGGCCCATTCTAAGAGTAGTTCAGCAAAACCCATTCTCACCGAGGACCTAGTTGTCTTTAAGGGAAGCATCCAGGTCACTGCATCTCAAGGCCAAGCCCACCTCACCTTCTGTGAAACTTCCAACAGGGATTTTACATGGATCAAGTGAGCAGGATTCACCCTTCACTGCTGGAAGAGTCTGCTCGGAGCATCTAGGAGATTGCGAAAGCTTCGATGAGAGGAGGTGACTGTGAGATCATTCTCTTTTTCATCTCCCAGTCAGGTCTGTTACGCCCAAGCCCTACTGAGCATCCAAAGTCCTGTCATGCCAACCAATTCCCTTCCAACCGAATCCTCACCGCGTCTGAGACCCCGGCCTGTTTCCTTCTAATATTCATTTGAAATGTGAACTAATGTGGCCTAGCAGTTTAAGATCATGATGACGCCTCCAGTGGGAAAACAGACAGACCAATGCACGATCTCTTGCACCCTGCCAGTCACATGGACTGAGATGACAGTGATGAGGCTTTCAAAAGGAGAAGCCATTGGGTTAGAGTTATTACTGGGGGTGCATTGCTCCTAAGTGGTGAACACTCAATAGGGATGCGGAATCTGGGACCATGTTGGTGCCAGATGCTGCAGCTAAAGTGACTCAAAGCACAGACAGAGGGCACAAAATATTCATGAATGTTCACCATATATAAGGGCTGGTATGAATTACCAGGGGACAAATCAAGGTCCTTTTAAGCATGGTGGAGATGACAGGAACGATCATCCTCCTTCCATGGCCAACGAGCAGTTATGGTCCCACACTGGATTTCCCTTGGAAGTTTGCTCTTTGGAGACCTCCAGGATTGGGTGTGACAAAGAAACAAAGAATAGGAATAAATGGTCAATTTTCACAAAGGAGTGAGATAAATAGCAGGGTCCCCCTAGGATCTGTATTGGGACAGGTATTGTTCAACATAGTCATAAATGACCTGGAAAGAGGGGTATACAGTGAGGTGGCAAAATTTGCAGATGAAACAAAATTACTCAAGATAGTTAAGTCCAAAGCAGATTGTGAAGAGCAACAAAGGGATCTCACAAAACTGGGTGACTGGGCCACAAAATGGCAGATGAAATTCAATGTTGATGAAAGCAAAGTAATGCACATTGTAAAACACAATCCCAATTATACATAGAAAATGATGGGGTCTAAATTAGCTGTTATCACTCAAGAATGAGATCTTGGGAGTCATTGTGGAGAGTTCTCTGAAAACATCCACTCAATGTGCAGCAGCAGTCAAAAAAGCGAACAGCATGATAGGAATCATTAGAAAAGGGATAGATAATAAGAGGAAATATCATAATGCCACTATATAAATCCACGGTATGCCCACACTTTGAATACTGCTGCAGTTCTGGTGGCTCCATCTCAAAAAAGATACATTAGAACTGGAAAAAAGACAGAGAAGAACAACAAAAATGATTAGGACTATAAAACAGCTTCCGTATGAGGAGAGATTAAAAAGACCAGGACTGTTCATCTTAGAAAAGAAACGACTAAGGAGGGATATGATAGAAGTCTATAAAATCATGACAGGTGTGGAGAAAGTGAATAGGGAAGTGTTATTTCCCTCTTATATAACACAAGAATTAGGGGTCACTCAATGAAATTAATAGGCAGCAGGTTTTAAACAAACACAAGGCAGTACTTCTTCACACAACGCACAGTCAACCTGTGGAACTCATTGCCGGGGGATGTTGTGAAGGGCAAAAGTACAACTGGGTTAAAAAAAGAATTAGATAAGTTCATGGAGGATAGATCCATCAGGGGCTATTAGTCAGGATGGTCATGGACACAACCCCATGCTCTGGGTGTCCCTAGCCTCTGATTACCAGAAGCTGGGAGTGGATACCAGGGGATGGATCACTCAGTAATTGCCCTGTTCTGTTTCTGCCACTGTTGGAAGACAGGATACTGGGCTAGTTCCATGTGGTCCTGGCACATGGCAGCTAGGGCTCAGAGTGGGACTCGAGCTGCTGCAGGCTGCCCTGTCTTGGGTTGATTAGGTCACGGATTCAGCAAAGCACTTAAGCATGTAGCTAGGCCCCACTGACTCCAAGGCATGCCTCAGGGCTCAGCTGCTCCTAAGGTGGTGCTAACTGGGAGAGCTGCATGTAGGGCTGTGACATATGGGTATTTTCCGACAGGTAGGGACAGGGTGCAGGACAATCGCTCCATTATGCCGGCTGAGGAACTGTCTGTCTATCCCACCTGCGCAAGAAATTCTGCATCTCCCCAAATCTCCACCCTCAAATTCAGCACCTTATACCCCACTCACCTAGAGACACACACAGCTGTCAATCAAGAGCCATGCTGACCCGGCCACCTGTTCTCCGGGGGCGTGATCCACTGCCTACCAAAGCCGACTAGAATCTTTCCATTGGCTTTGATGTAGGTTGGCTTGCGGCCTAGGAGATCACCCCATGAGGAAGAGAACGGCCCCGGGGGAAGCTGCTGTATCTGACCCACATGTCGCTCAGACACATTGGGCCAATTCCATCCTGACCCACGCCCTGGAAATGGAGACGGGGCAGTTCCTGACGTCAGCAGGTGAAGACTCTGTGATTTGTGAACGAACCTCTTGGAAAAAACCACTTCTACCAACACATTGTGCACACACAAGGGAACCCGCCTGTCTTAAAGGAAGGTAAATCTCATGCAGCATCCCCGGAGGATGCCTTCTCAGAACATGCCTGACCTGTCACCTGTATTGTTCATATCGCAGTAGCATGTGGAGGTGCCAACTGAGATCAGTCTCACTGTGCTAGGTGCTGTGACAGACACAGGATAACCAACAGTCCCTGCCACAAAGAGCTTCACATCTAAATACACAAGACAGACAAAGGGAGGGAGGGGAAGCAGACGCATAGAGAGGAAAGTGTCTTGCTCCAGGTCACCCAGCAGGTCAGTAGCAGAGCTGGGAATGGAACCCAGGTGTCCTGACTGCCAGCCCTGTGCCCTAGCAACTAGATCATGTTTCTGTGCAAAATCCCAAACCACTTGATGGAGCTAATCAGCCGAAGAGGGAAAGGGAGGAAGGAGAAATTACACGTTTTCAGATGAAACAGGAAAACAGATAGTATGCAGATGAGGCAGAGAGATGAAAGAAAGCTGCTTCGCACGACAGGAATTGCAGAGGAGAAGGCTCTTGCATGAAGACTTACATATACTTGTATATAGTGTTCAGGTCACTGGGGACACAATATGCTGTTTAAGCTTTTGGTTAAAGTATTTAAAATGCTATAGAATAAAGTATTTTCAAATACCGCAACAGGGCTAGAAATACAGCTAGGGTAAGCAGGCATAGCCACGTGGGTTGCAATGGAGCGATGTCCACTGACACTAGCTAGATGTGTGGCACGGAGCTTGTAAGCACATTGTTCGGGCACTCAGTTGCTGCTGTGTAACTGGGAGAACCCAGTCAGGGTTGTCTTTAAACCTACTGAAGTCTGCAGACAGGCCAAGATTTTTAAAAAACAGGTGCTTAAAGTTAGGTGCCTAAATCCATCTTTCGACATCTAAATGAGTGGCTTGATTTTCAGAAGCGATGAGGACCCAACACGTGGGGAGACGTCTCACCAGGAAGCCATGGGCACGGTGTTCAGGCAACACATTTAGGTATCTAAATATTGTTATTCGTAATTATTTGTACTGTGGAAAGGCCCAGTCACAGACCAGGACCCCATGTGCTAGGTGCTGTACAGTGCAGAACAGAATGATGGTCCCTGCACCATAGAGCTGACAATCTAAGTAAATATGGATTGAGAAGTTGGCACCCTGGGCTACCTTTCCAAAAGTGACAGGCGATTCTGGGCACCTCCATTTTTGGAGCCCAACGTGAGACACCTTAGAGGTGGTTTTCAGAAAATGTGAGCAGCCAGGAGCAGATTTTCAAAAGAGCCAGGGTTCCAGAGTATTGCCAGTCCAGAGTGTTCAAACTCCCCAGACTGTGTTCAGAATCATGAGAGTGTTTAAAAAATCCTTCGTCTGGGGTTCATTTTGATTTGCCTTCTGTTTACCGAGCCTTCAGAGTACACTTGGGTCCTGGTTCCCAACTTTTTCTCTGCAACCATGAGGGCTAGAAATTTAATTTAAAAAAAATGAAAGCTGAGAGTCTCATGAAATAACATGACTCCAGAGACTGGAGCTTTAACGTAAGCACTAAATATCACGAGATCTGTAAGAGCTGGCAACACTGGCGACTTAGCAGCACAAACCCCATTGAGAGTCCACGGCACATGAATTCTTGTCATGTCAGGTGCTTTTGAAATTCCCAGTGCTGCACTCTGAAAAACCAGTCCTTAAGGTGTCTCCTGTTGGGCATCCAATCCTCACTACTCACCTTGAGGCCCCATCTTGGCCACGTGAACCCCCACAGGCAGTTCTGGGGGGGGGAGCCTGCCTGTAAAACACCTTCGTTTGTGGACATTTTTGGTGCAAGCTGGCTGACAGTGGATTCATACTCTCTCGCTAGGTGAGTAAACCCCCATAATTCTCTTTGCTCCCCATCCCCACACAGGATTCGGGATCTGGAAGCTAAATACATAAATTAAGTGCTGGGGACAAAAAGGTAAGTAGTTAAAAAACAACCATAAATACTGTACAATGCAAGAGACAGTTGCAGTCGGACAATGCCCCTCCTAGTTCTGCCCCGGCTGTAGGCCACAATAACCAACTGGCTTTGCTCTTAAAGCCAAAGGAGCGTGAAGCTGCCCTGGTCCTAACAGTGCCCCCTTGTGGCGCTGCCCGCTATCAGGGATCCAGCTAAGTATTGCACATTTTTCATGCAGCGGCTCCCCTCTTTGCTGGCTGAATGGAAGATCAGCTCTCCGCCCCCTCTGCAATCGGAGCTGTTGACTGTCAGCCAAGACGCTCCCACCTCTCCTCTCCCCTCCAGACACTCAGGTAACCCTCTGGGATCAGCGCTCGTGGATGAATGGACCCTGCTGCCATTGTAGGACATTTGCTATGTGCAGCTCCTCATTGGTTGGGACTGACTGCAGGCTGGGGCGTCGGCACCCTGCATACAACTCCCTGGGCCCGAAGCTGCCACTGCTTCCATGCAAGCTCCTTGACAAATGTCCGCCCCACAGAAAATAAATAAGGATATTGTATACGTATCCAAAACAACCACCACCACCACAAGCGTTCTTTGGGTGACCGCGATGAGTGAGCGGGTTAGCTAGAGACCTAGAGATGCTGGAGCAGCTGTGGCCAACGGGGATGCTGGAGCGACTTCCTCTGACAGGAGGAGCGGGGAGCCCTGTGTGCGGGGGCCCTCGTGAAGGTGGCGGTGAAGTGAATGCGACGGTTTGCTGATTCTGGCTGGGTGGACAAGAGACAGAGAGAGAGAAAGCAGGCAGGCTACCGTCCAGGGGTGTGCTTGCTTAGACATGGACCTTCCGCTTCCAAGAGCCTGGATGCAGAACCCCAGGCAGGTCAAAGCACAACACACAAAAGAAAGGCCCCCTGCCGACTGCACGAACAATGGATTCTCTCCTCTGCTAAGCCCTCCTCTTTCGCCTGGATGCTTCCAAGCATGCCACATAAATCTGTCCATCCAGGTGCCCCTGTCCCCACACCCACACCCACCGCTGGAGTAAGCGCAGGCTGCCCCATAGGATCTGTTTGCTGCGCGTGTTCCTCTCACCACGCTGCAGACGCTGTGTTTGGGAGGAGCTTGTCCCCAGGCACACACAAATCATCCAGGATGGGAGACGAGATGGGCTCGGGGGCGGTTAGTGACAAGAGGAGGCAGGGGTGGGGCTGGTGCTCTCCCCCCAGTGGGGCCCCGTGCTGCTGCAGATCAGACCCTCCACAGGAGGAGATGGTTTGTGCTGTCATCTCGCCCCACTGTCTCGCTGCTGTTGGTGAGTCTGAAATCCTCATAGCCATCCCCCCCGCTGATCACCAGCATCTTAGACTTGGAGAGGACCATGTTGGAGGACCTGTGTCTTGCCAAATCTCTCTTTTCTGCGTCGCTCAGCTTCTCGGTACCTGGGAAACGGAACAAGCCCAGAGAGATCACAGCGCGTGCACGGAAAGAACGGCTGTCTGACAGAATGTGGCGAAGGGGTTCTCAAACCCAGCAGTCTATGTCCCTCCCCAGCCATGAGCCGTAACGACCCAGGGAGCCTTGTCACGCCCCACTCTCCTCCCAAGCAGCAAAGGCCAGGAGTTTTAAGGGTTGAGTGATTCTGCAGGCTCATCCTGAGGACCTGATTTTCAGAAAGTGCGGAGAACCCAAGCTGCTAAAAATCAGAACCCACATGTGGTTTCACACCAGGCATCCCAAAGCCCACACCCCCTTCCTCAACTGCTTTGGAAAGCCTTGGTCAAAAGAAATGGGCTTCTCACCCTGGAAGGCCCCAGCTCACCTTTTCCAAGAGCAGCTTGAATTCTGCTCTGTGCTAACCTCACCTCCAGGGAGACTGAGGGAAGGGGCAGCTTATTCATAGATTCCCAGGCCAGAAGAGACCATTGTGACCATCTAGTCTGACCTCCTGCATAACACAGGCCGGAGAACTTCCCCCCGCAAATTCCTACAGCAGATCTGTTAGAAAAACATCCAGTCTTGATTTAAACATTGCCAGGGATGGAGCATCCACCACGACCCTTGATAAGCTGCTCCAGTCGGAATTTGTCTCCTTTCAACTTCCAGACACTGGATTGTGTTAGACCTTTTCTCTGCTAGGCTGGAGAACTCACTAGTAAATAGCTGTTCCCCATGTAGGTACTTATAGACTGTGATCAAGTCCCTCACTTTGTCAAGCTACATAGACTGAGCTCTATGGCAGCTGGGTGTGTACTCCAGGGGGCAAAAGGTGTTCCACTCCCCCTAATCATTTTTATTGCCCTTCTCTGTCCCTTTTCCAGTTCTAATATATCTTTTTTTGAGATGGGGTAACCAGAACTGCAGGCAGTTTTCAAGTTGTGAGGGTACCATGGATTTATATAGAGGCAATACGATATTTTCTGTCTTATTATCTATCTTTTTCCGAATGGTTCCCAACATTCTGCACACTTTTTTTGACGGCCGCTGCACATTGAGTGGATGTTTTCAGCAAACTCTCCACAATGGCTCCAAGATCTCTTTCCTGAGTGGTAACAGCTAATTTAAACCCCCACATTTTGTATGTATAGTTGGGATTATGTTTTCCAATGTGCATTACTTTGCATTAGTAATTTTGTATCCTCAAACCTTTGGTGAGGCACCTTGTTAATGGCTTTCTGAAAGTCCAGGTACACTATACCCACTGAATCATGCTTCTCCACACATTTGTTGACCCCCCTCAAAGGATTCTAATAGATTGGTGAGGCATGATTTTCCTTTACAAAAGCCATGTTGATGCTTCCCCAACAAATTGTGTTCACCTATGTGTCTGATAATTCTGTTCTTTACTTTAGTTTTAAGCAGTTTGCCTGGTACTGAAGTTAGGCTTACCAGCCTGTAATTGCCAGGATCGCGTCTGGAGCCTTTTTAAAAAATCAGTGTTATATTAGCTATCCTCCAGTCATCTGGTACAGAGGCTGATTTAAGTGACAGGTAACATAAGACACTTAGTAGTTTTGAAATTTCACATTTGAATTCCTTCAGAACTCTTGGGTGAATACCATCTGGTCCTGGTGATTTATTACCATTTAGTTTATGGCTTTGTTCCAAAACCACCTCTACTAACACCTCTGTCTGGGACAGTTCCTCAGATCTGTCACCTAAACAGAATGGCTCAGGTGTGGGAATCTCCCTCACATCCTCTGCAGTGAAGACTGATGCAAAGAATTCATACAGTTTCTCTGCAACAGCCTTGTCTTCCAGTGGCCCATTGACTATTTGGCAGGCTTCCCACTTCTGATGTACTTAATTTAAAAAAAAAAATTTTTTTTGCCTGTTAGTTTTTGTGTCTTTTGCTTGCTGCTCTTCAAATTCTTTTTTGGCCTGCATATTTATACGTTTACACTTGACTTGCTAGAGTTTATGCTCCTTTCTATTTTCTTCAGGAGGACTTGACTTCCAATTTTTAAAGGATGCCTTTTTGCCTATAATCGCCTCTTTTACTCTATTGTTTAGCCACGGTGACTTTTTTTTTATTCTTTTACGATGTTTTTTTCATTTGGGGTATATATTTAATTTGAGCCTCTGTTATGGTGTTTTTAAAAATTTTCCATGCAGCTTGCAGGCATTTCACTCTTGTGACTGTTCCTTTGAATTTCTGTTTAACTAGCTCCTCATTTTTGTGTATTTCCTCTTTTAGAAGTTAAATGCTACAGTGGTGGGCTTCTTTGGTATTCTCCTCCCCCCCTACCCCTCCAAACAGAGATGTTAAACCGAGGCTGGGTGTTTGCAGTAGCATTCCACGCCATAAGGGGGCGCACTCAGCACCTGCACCCTGCTGCACCCAGACTAGTCTCCCAGGAGTAGTGGTGAAGCTGCATCTCTTGGAGGATTGAAAACCAGGCTGGACAAAGAACCGGGGAATGAGAGCGGAGCAGTAGCTCTGCTATAGTGAGGGTTGAGACTCACTTACTGTTTAACAGATGATTTTCCTAAATGCTCTAAAACCCACATGTCAACTCAGATTGTCTTGAAAATCGCCGTGCCTTATGCATGTCCGGGGTAGGGTTAGTGGTCCAAATTTGGACTCACATGAGCAAGGTGTTCATGAGATACAGACCCACTAAAAATTGCATGGGACATTTTAGTGGTTCCTAGAACATTATTTGTGCCCACATCTGGTATTAGAGGGGAACAATCCTGCTTGGGCCCCACGGGGGATGGACTAAGTGGGATTTGATATCCTGGATATCTGCCCCCCTCCCCAACTTCTTACCCCTCCAGAAGGCCCATCCAAAGAGTAAGACACAACTGAAGGTGGGAAAATGGGCCCTGTGATTCCATGGGTGTGTGTGTGTGTGTGTGTGTGGGGAGCTGTTGCGTGGAAATTTCAGCCCCTGCTGATCTCTGGGTTCTGAGTGTGGGTACAAACCCTCCTGCTGGACCCACCTGGATCTCTCGGCAGCGGAAAGATGATATCAAAGTTGTCGGGCAGTTCGATGGAGGTGAGGAAACGCACGTGGCCAGTGTGCCCCTGGGACAAACCCACCGGCATCAGGGGCATCTTCAAGGAGGTGGTGTTGGCCGTTATGGACAGCGTCAGCACCACCCCAGCGCTGGTACCAATCCAGAGCAAGTCCTTGCAAACCAGGAGTGCTGTGATCCGCAAACAGGCAGCCTTGTGCTGGCGGATAATGGCATCCGAACCTGCCAGCGGGACAAAGAGAAGGACCAGGAGTTAAAACACAGGTGAGCTGAAGTTCTAAAAGGTCCCTTGCACATGTGACCAAAGGAGGTTATTGGTCAAGCTCTCTGCAGCATCCACCTCCCTTGGGCAATGCACCTTTCTGCAGGGCACCAAGCAGGGATCATCTGGGCCAGGTGGACATATCCCACATGATCTCTGTCACATGATGGCATGGGATGGGCAGTGCCAGACCTTGGGACTTCCTAGCTTCTTGAGTCAGGCGTTTGGGGCAGGGGTGATGGATTCTTCCTAAAAGTGGTGGGGCCACGAGGCCTGATCCCCTCCATGGCCCTGCTCCTGCTCCTCTTCTTCCTCCTGAGGCCCTGCCTCGGGCCAAGCTGGAAGCCAGAGCCGGGCCAGGGAGCCCAGGTCCTTCCATCTGCCTGGGATGCGGAGGCCTGAGAGCAGCCCTTGTCTCTGCCCCCCCGCAGGTACCACGCCCAATGTAGGTGGAGGGTCCGCGGCTCCCCACCACTGCCCATGTGGCTGTTACCCTGACCCAGCTCCAGCTTCCGGCCTGGCCTGGGGCCAGGCCTTGGGGGATGAAGAGCTGCAGCTGGGCCATGGTAAGAGCCGCCCGGGCAGCTGTGGGAGCTGCGGACCCTCTAACTGCCCTGGGCGGGGCGGGGGGCAGGCAGGGACATGGGGCGGGGGCTTCTCTCATGTCCCCCAACCCAGGCAGGTGGAGGGTCCGTGGCTCCCCACAGCTCCCTGGGAGGCTCTTACTCGGGCTCGGCTCCAGCTTCCAGCCTGGCCGGGAGACAGGGCCTTGGGGGGAAGAGGAGGGGCAGGGGGCCAGGCCTGTGGCGAAAAGTGGGAGGGCCATGGTCCCTTGGCCCCCCTGTTCTGGCAGCCCTGGTTTGCGGGTGCAGTGATTACACATAGGCCTGTCCTCTCTGGGAAATCAACATGCGAGTTCTGCTATGGTCCAAAGGGAAGAGAAACAGGATGGTCCTGTGGCCTTTGCTCCCCATGGCTTGCCCCTCAGAACAGCCTGCTGTCTCTGCGTGAGACAGCCCTGGCCGGGACCGGGACAGCACGCGCTGTCACCTGGGGGAAGAGGCATGGCTGCTGGCTGAGGCAGCTGGCCCAGTGACTGCCCTTGCTAAGCCTGACTCTAGCCAGGGGGAGCAAATGACAGCTCCCTGGGTGGCCTGAGGAGGGATGACTGATCAGATCCCAAACGCATCCTGCTGGCATCTGCAGACCCCAAAGTGAGCCTTATTCGGATGCCTCCCCTCAGTCTGCCTCATGGCTGCTACTGAACTCTCTGAGCCCCACAACCTGGTCTCTATGGCCCCGACACAGCAGCTGCGCAGAGGCAGGTCTCCCTGGGTTTCATAGCTCAGTGCTGCAGACAAACCGTTCGAAGGCAATGCCGGTACCTGCTAACATTTTGTGGACCAGGGGCGTGATATCGACTTCAGCCAGCTGCTCGTAGCTTGTGGCATGGTACAGCCTCACCTGGGCACTGCTCTGGAGCGCGATCCAAATACCTGGGCTGCAGCTCACCATGCAGGTCACGCTGCGGTTGCTGTCCTGCCCGATATGGAACGTGTGCTGCGGATGGAGAGGAGAAGTGCGTCCATCGTACTGCTGCCAATGGATGGGACCCTCTGCAATGGCAGCAGAGCCAATGGGCCACTCTGGTTCTTTGCCTTGCAGCCCTGTGCTTTAGGGATCTAGACCTGCCGGTGAGGAAGTGACTTTTCCTCCTCGTGGAAAGTTCCCCTGGCAGTTCTCCCTTAATATTATTTGCACTGCGGTAGCACCCAGGGGGCCCAACTGAGATCAAGGCCCAAGTGGGCGAGGTGCTGTACAGACATACAGCAAGGAGCTTTCACTCTGCAATCTAAACAGACAAGGCCCAAGAGGAAACCGAGGCACAGGGAGAGGGAGTGATTTGTAGCGGAGCTGGGATTAACACTCAGGTCTCCTGACACCCAGGCCAGTCTTCCAGCCAGTCTCCCATGCTGCCTTTCATGTCTATCAGTAAGACGCCTGAGCCAATCCATCAGCACAACACCCCCTGAGCCAAGCTAGGTATAAGAGGGCTGTTGTCCAGGATGCATGAAGAGGAATATACGAATACGCTGCATTTCTGTAGCCTTTTCCGTATAAGATGGCAGGCGCTTCACAGACCCCTCAGGGAGGGAGGTAAGCAGCTTTATCCCAGCGATGTCCCAGCTGCGGGGTGAGAGAGTCAGGACAGCACTGTGAAAATCAGACTCCGGTTTTGAGTGCCATCATTTTGGGTGCTTGCCCGGAGGCACTCTGGGGATGGTTTTCAGAGGTGCCGAGCGCCCTCTTGTGGAAGCCAATAGCTGTTGGCCCCTCGGATATTTGGGCTCTAGATGTCTCACAGCGGGCACCCAAAAGCAGAGGAAATTCAAAAACCTGGTGTTTTGTGACGTGATCCAGAGACGGTGCCAAGAACAGAACCCAGCTCCCCAGCCACCTATTATAACCACAAGGCCACCCTTCCTCGCCTGCTTCTCCCACCTCTAATCTCCTCTATACAGCACCCACCTCGGTGGCGGCCGGTAGGGGGCTGCTGCCCTTGTGCATTCCCACAGCGTCTCCCCCATGGTCACCTATACATGGAGCTCTGCTGCTCACAGGGTGACCCTCATCCCACACAAGCTCCCAGTGGGATTGGTCACTGCTAGGTGTACTCTCAGAGGGGCCCAAAGACAATGGGGCTTGGCCATGGACTGTCCCAGGGCAGAATACGGCCTTTTGGAAACTGATGTAGGAAATAACCGAGGGGAGACCCTCGTGGCTAAACACATCTCACTGCGAGGGGCTGGAGTATTTACCTCAGGAGAGAGATGGCTCTCCTGATCAGAGATCCCGGCTCTCCTGATCAGAGATCCCGGCTCTCCTGATCAGAGATCCCGGCTCTCCTGATCAGAGATCCCGGCTCTCCTGATCAGAGATCCCGGCTCTCCTGATCAGAGATCCCGGCTCTGGGCTGTGCATGCCCTGCACTAAAGGGCTGATCCAAAGCTCATGGAAATCAACAGGAGTCTTTCCATAGACTCCATTAGGCCTCAGACTGGGCCCCAGAGTTCATGACCAGCCTCCTGAGCCCCCCGCCCCCATGTTGGCTTGAGCCCTCCTGGGGGCTGGGAAAGCGAGCAGGTACCTCCTGCAGCAGTGTGGCCGTGTTGAGGATGACGACTCGGTTCTGACACCCGCACCACAGCTTGCCAGCCACCGAGACCATCTTCGTGACAGGGCTGCCCGGGGAGCCAAGGGACAGGGACTTGGCGTTCTGGGGGTCCCAGAAATGTCCTGTACAGAGAAAGGAGAAATCAACAGTTGCGTTCTCCTTAGCTGCCCCCCATGGGTCCTCACAGCACAGCAGCCATGTGGGCCGGTGGACACACATCCTGTAAAACGAGGCACAATGTGTGGGTGGTGCTTTGAATGTCCTCTAGCTGTCGACTGCCCAGCAGCGACACTTACATGGCTCCCATCACCACAGCATCCAAGCTCCTCACGGCACCCCTGGGAGGCAGGGCCATGTACAGGTGGGAAACTGAGGCACGGAGAGGTTAGGTGATTTGCCTAATGCCCCACAAAAGCCTGTGGCAGAGCAGGGACTTGAGTCCAGGTCTTCCAAGGTCCAGGTTAGTGAACTACCCGCTGGGCTAGAGCATGTGCAATGTTCTGGGCCATGCAAACCGCCACCAGCGGGCAGAGTCGGGGTTAAGGATGGTGATGACAGTAACAGTGCACACCTCTGTTGTGGCTTCCAGGGGAAGAGCTCAGATCCCTGATGCTGCTTCGGAGCCACCCTGGGAGGCAGGTCTGTGCTATTTAACCCATTGCATGGGGGAACGGAGGCAGAGAGAAGTTAAGTGACTTGCCCCAGGTCACACAGGAAACCTGTGGCAGAGCTAAGGAGAGGCCCGTCAGACTGAGACTACCCGGGCTAACAGACGCAGCCACTCTGCAGCCAAGTCAGCTGGCCAGGCACTTCTAGTGCCCACCTTGTTCAGAACTCCCACCTCCCCCTGGCTGCATCTCAGACTTCCAGCGACTCCTCACTACAGTGCAAGAGACTCGCCCCTTTGGCGCAAGGAGCTGGGACCAGGAGCCTATGGCCATAAACCTGCTCTGCAACCTCAAGGATGTTTCCTTCTCCTCCCACCATCCCCAGGCGTTCCTCTGAGATGTGGATTCTACAGGCCATGAATCCCGTCCCCAGTTACAGCAGCGTCATTCCGGAGCGACTCCCCCACGGGCAGCCCGGTCACTCCCGATTCGCGCCACATTGCTGGGAGCAGAATCTGACCCTTGGTGTCTGAACCGTGTTAGCTTTGTCCCCAGCTCTACAATGGGGGTCTTGATTACGTGAGGGCAGAGTTTGGCCAGGAATCTTCAATTCCATGTGCCCTGAGCGCTGTGAAAATATACCAGCGCTTCTGTCACTGCCAGGGCCACGCTACATGGAGAAGTGATCACACCAGGCTGGGTTCTCCTCTTCCTTACGCCAGTCCAACTGCACGAGCTTCAGTGGAGTTACTACTGATTTACACCAGGAGAAAGAAGAGGAGAATCGGGCCCAGAGCAGTTAGTAAAAGGGTAGCCTGGCATTTTAAAAATAGAAGGCCAACGTTTTCAAAAGTGCCTGTAACTCTGGGTGCCCAGCGAGTGCCCATTACCTTTGGGTGCCCCAAATTAGCGGACGCTTCTGAAAACGTTGGCCCCAAATTGATGAGCTAATCTAAAGCCACAGAGGACATGATGGCAGCCATTGGAGAGGCGGATGGGGAATCAGGACTCCTGGGTTCTATGCACCTCTTTGCCACCGCCTCACTGTGTGCCCTCAGCTAAGTAACCTCTCTTGTTCCGCTACCCATCAGCACAGTAGTGCTCTTAACGCTAACCCATCTCTCCGGGGAGTTGGGAGGCTCAGCCAGCTGCTTGGGAAGCACTGTGGGATGGCGGCATGCAAGGCCCTACGTCAGCGCGCAGCACTATTGGCATCAGACTCACCTGCCTCTCTCTGGTAGATGATGAGTTCTCCGTTCGCCAGGGACACAAAGACCTGGTTATCCAGGTACCTGCCGAGAAGAGAAGCCCGCGCAGTTAGCCTGGGACGGACGTCACCATGACAGTGCAGCAGCAGCTTCCCTCCGAGGAGGCTGCTCCCAGTGAATCAAGTCTCTCCTGCAAAAGGCTGCTCCCTCGGTGCACTTTAGTCTCTCCTCCCCTCCCCAAAGTGCCCCATATCTTAAGTATCCTCAACCCAACCGCTCGTTTCTCCTTCTAACATAGCATCCTGTACAGCCCACCCCCCACCATATACAGCTCCAGCGCCCACCCTCCCCACACATCGGCTTCAATTGAGATCCAGGCCCCGCTGTACCAGGGACTGCACAAGAAACAGTCCCTGCCCCAAAGGCGGTACAGTCTGAATACATAAGCCGACAAAGGAAGGCGTGGTAACCTTGCCGGACAGCTGGGGAAACCGAGGCACAGAGCAAGGCCGTGACTTGCCTGAGGTGCCACAGGCAGTCTGTGGCAGAACCAGGCACTGAACCCAGGTCCTCTCAAGTGCCTTTACCCTGAGGCCATCTATGCTCTGTATTAGTTACTACTGAGATCATGGTGACACCTAGACATATCAATTAGACACCCGTGGCTGGCCCATGCCAGCTGATTCAGGCGAAGGGGCTGTTGAGTTGCGGGGCAGAGGTTCAGGCTCGGCCTGGAGCCTGGGCCCCAGGGCCCTGCAAGGTGGCAGGGTCCCAGAGCTTGGCCTGCAGCCCAAGTGTGAAAGGCTACGCTGCAGTTAAACAGCCCCTTAGCCCAAGTCAGCTGGCCCGCACCGGCCGTAGGTGTCTAACTGCTGTGTAGATGTACCCCCCGAGGCCTAGGCAGGGCCCTGGCAGGAGCTGATGCCTCGTGCCGTGTACCACTCACAAGATGCACATGACGGCGGCCGAGTGCTGCATCTTCATGCTGTTCTTCCGGTTGCGGATGTTGTCTGAGGACTGGTACACATGGATGCTAGGAAACAAAGGGAGTCAGCTGAGAGTCCTCTGCTGTGGCTGATGGAACTGGCTCCCTGACCCGGCACAGGGAAACGGGAGGCAGCTCCGGTCACATCAAATCCCAACGCTTTGTTGGAAACGCACTCTGTAGGTCTGCTCAGCCTCAGTTTCCCCTTCCTTCTCCACCAGCGCCAGGGCAGCAAAGCTCGCCCGCGGGGCAGCTGGGAAAGGCCTCATTCACAAGCCTCCCTAGCACTGGCTCCCAGCTCTCTGGAGCACGAAGCACTGGGTGACAATGGAACGCACTGGCTGGTGTGTGTGTGAGTTCCACCCTTTATAAGGCTTGCTTAAGGGGTTAGAACATAAGAACGGCCAGACTGGGTCGGACCAATGGCCCATCTAGCCCAGTATCCTGTCTTCCGACAGTGGCCAATGCCAGGTGCTAGGGAGGGAATGAACAGAACAGGGCAATTATCGAGTGATCCATCCCCTGTTGTCCAGTCCCACCATCACACAGCCAAAGGCTATGGACACCCAGAGCACGGGGTTCCGCCCCTGACCATCTTGGCTAATAGCCATTGATGGACCGATCCTCCATGAACTTATCTAGTTCTTTTTTGAATCCAGTTATAGTTTTGGCCTTCATAACATCCCCTTGCAATGAGTTCCACAGGTTGACTGTGTGGTGCGCATGCGTTGTACTTAGGTCGCCCTCGAGTGGCCTCCACATCAAGGACCCACACGGCATTTCTCTTCATTCACATGGCAGGGGCTGGAGCTTTTGGTGCTGAGGGGGCTGAGCCCCCATTCACCTGGTGTGAGTGGGCAGTGCAGTGTCTATGTACGTACGAGGGATGTGTGCAGGCAGAAGTGTTTGTGTTTATGGGCCAGGACAATGAGCAAGGCAGCCTCGAGCTGGCTGGGGAAGACCTTCAGAAAACCAGCTCTTGTGCCATCTCAGCTCCTCAGGGCCTGCAAATGGCCCAGCAAAAGTGTCAGCTCAAACGCCTGGGCCACTGACACCAACACAAAAGTGTGAGCCGCCTCCCAGCCCTGGGGTGCAGGGCCGTGCCTCAGTGCGAGGGTTTTCAGACATTTCCATTCTCTTCTTCAGGCTTGCATGGGCCTCGATTGTGTGCACAAAATGTGCGTGTGTGTGTTGGGAGGGGAGGGAAGGGGAGGAGAGGAGGCTGTGCATGGAGGGATGGACACACAGTCACAGAGTTTAAGGCCAGAAGGAGCCACCCTACCAGATCCTGTGTGTGGGTATGGTGGACATGTGGGCATGATGCCGTGCCTGTGTTTGTGTGTGGGGGCACTTACATGTGCATGCCCATGTGTGCCGTATGTGGTGGTAGGTGGACATTTAACCAGGTGGATTTAAGAGGCCTGGCCCACATGTTCAGCGCAGAATATGGCTCACCAGGATTTGATGAGATCCTCCCAGTGCCAACGGGTACAATGCCAAATAAACCAATGCAGCTGCATCTGCTGACACCAGGCCGGTGTTTGGCTTGGCGTCTCCACAAGCACTGAGTGGACATTCTTTTCTCCACCTCCCTCTGTTCTCAGGGTTTACCCCAGAGAGTACCTGAATCCCCTCCTTTGTCACGCCTTCCCCCCTGTTCCCAGCGTGCTAAGAGTCCCCCTGCCAATAACGCCTGTATCGGCAGCTTCACTCCAGCACAGCCATCCATTACAGAGGCTACCAAAGGAAGTCGGCTCAGCAATGTTTGCATGCAGGCCGGCAGGATCAGGTGACATCCGCCAAGCCACCACCCACCCCTTTTCCAATACTCTGCCTGCTCCTAGCTGACCCACCAGCCATCCTCTGTGCCCAGCCACATTGAGCTCTGATACGCCTCAGGATCTATGCTCAGCAGGTCCTCCAAGCTGCCCCTCGTGAAGGACCCTCGGCTTGACCTCCTCATCGCCCGCCCATCCATGGGGCTCTCGCTATTCCTGTTCTGGCTGAAGGTGCTGGAGATGGGAAGGAAGCCTGGGTCCTGCTCCTCCTCTGAGCTGGTGGTTTCAGCTGCCACATCTTTGGAGCTGGGGATCTCTTCATCTGGACAAGGAAAGGTGACAGGAACACACAAACCAGGAGGTTTTAGGATCAGATTCTGATCAGTGTGATTCTGGATTAACTCGCTCATTCCCACTGAACCCAATCTAGTCGACTCTGGTTTAACCTAATCTATTTCAAAGAATTTCTCTTGCACCCATCACCACGGTGTCTAGGCACCAGACGGAGGTACTATGGACCTACACTAGTGCAGCTGAGGGCAGAGTTTGACCTGGGATGTTTCATACTGTAGCTGAATAGCACAGTGGTTAGTGCCCTCTGATGGGAGCCCAGGACAAGTTACATAACAAAAGGCACTGGGACTTTCAGCATTTTCTAGTATCTCACATTTCCATGGCACTTTTCATTCTGTAGGAGCAATCCCCAAACCTTCTGCAGAGGGTGACAGATTCTGTTCTCAAAGGCACCGACCCAAATTCAGAGTAAATCCATTTACTTAGTGGAGTTGCACTGGATTTATACTGGAAATCAGAATCCAAATCCTGGTCCTACTGCAGTCAGGACACTAAGATTAGCGATATATTAAATATACATGTAAAATATTTCCAATATCTGGATGAGAGACAAGGTGGGTGAGGTTAATACCTTTTATTGGACCAAATTATGTGGGTGGGAGGGACAAGCTTTCGAGCTCCAGAGAGCTCTTCCTCAGGACTGGAGAAGACACTCTGGTTCTGTATAGCTCGAAAGCGCCTTCCAGCATCAGAAGCTGGTTCAATCAAATACATGACCTCACCTACCCGGTCTCTCTCATATTCCGGGACCAACATGGCTACAAAAGCACTGCAGACATGGACATTTATTACATATTAAAAAACAACATACAAAGAACATTGTTCAGGTTGCAAAGTCAAGCACTTAGAAGTTAGGAAAATGCCATATACACAGTTTCCAGTGCAGCCTCATTCTGCCCCCTGTGCGTCAATCTTGTGCACTGAATGAGGCAGGGATCCTATGGGAAAAAGTAGTACTTGATTACCTAATTAAAGACTGTATCATAATGCATACACACAAAGTGGCTGAACAATTCTAGCATCATCTGGATATAAACTGGCCACTAGGAAATTTAGATTAGAAATTAGACGAAGGTTTCTAACCATCAGAGGAGTGAAGTTTTGGAATAGCCTTCCGAGGGAAGTAGTGGGGGCAAAAGATCTATCTTGCTTTAAGATTAAACTCGATAAGTTTATGGAGGAGATGGTATGATGGGATAACATAGTTTTGGTAATTAAATATTCATGGTAAATAGGCCCAATGGCCTGTGATGGGTTTTTAGATGGGGTAAGATCCAAGTTATCCGGGAAAGAATTTTCTGTAGTATCTGGCTGATGAATCTTGCCCATATGCTCAGGGTTTAGCTGATCGCCATATTTGGGGTCGGGAAGGAATTTTCCTCCAGGGCAGATTGGAAGGCCCTGGAGGTTTTTCGCCTTCCTCTGTAGCATGGGGCACGGGTCACTTGCTGGAGGATTCTCTGCTCCTTGAGGTCTTCAAACTACAATTTGAGGACTTCAATAGCACAGATATAGGTGTGAGGTCTTTTTAGGAGTGGTGGGTGAAATTCTGTGGCCTGCATTGTGCAGGAGGTCAGACTAGATGATCATAATGGTCCCTTCTGGCCTAAATATCTATGAATCTATGAATCTATGAATCTCTAAACTAGCGAGTGCTTGATTTTGCAACCTTAATAACGACCTCTTAACGTCATTTTCTTGTATGTCATTTCCTAGAGTTTGTTTTTAAAAGAAAAAAAGTGAAAACAAATTCGATTATTAGTGACTGCAACAAGATTTCCCTGAGAAACGCAAGCCAGCAAAGGGAATAGCGATTTGATGGTTTATAGCTCAGCCAAAGTTGAATGGATTTTCGTGGGACAAAGAAAAGGCACCCCTCTAGTCTGAGGGCTTTCTCTTGCCGAATATCAAAGGCCTGATGCAATTAATGACGGTGCGAGAGCTTCTCTAAGAAAAGGTCACAAGAATCCTTTTCATGGAAAGTGTTAGGGTCACTACCAGCTCCCCCATAATAGCAGGGCTCAGTCATTTAGTGGCCTAAGAATTGATGACTCACTTCCAAAGCTAGAGGAGATGGTGGAGTGGCTGGCCTGGCTCTGGAGTGTGCCTGATGGGCTTGGAGAGGACTCATCGTCTGTATCGTCGCTGTCAAAAGGCATCAGCTCCCTGTTGGCGCTGTCCATGGGCTCAGAGAGCTCTATCGAGGAGCCGGAGATGGAGATGTGTAGGCACTGCTGGGGCCCGGAGTCATCCAGCGCCGAAGGAGCCGGCTCGGAGGTTGGACTCACCAGGGACTCGGGATGCTCCCTGTTATTAGAGTGACAAGCTGATGTAATCCTAATCCTAGCTCTGCTACTGACTTGTCCTGTGCATTGGGAAAGCCACCGTGCCTCAGTTTGCCCATCTTTGAAATGGGGATAAGAAGGCTCACCTGCCTAAGAGGGGTTGCTGTAAGGATTAAATCCCAAACACTTCTATTATATGCCGCATATTGCAGAAAATCTACACTGGAGCTTTAATAACAACTGATGTCTGCTATCTCCCTCTTCCCCTCTGCCTAGAAAGCCAGATGCCCTATTGCCTTGGGCCAGAGACAGCCAGGACTCACAAAATGTTTCAAATCATCACAAAAGATCAGAAGTGGCATGTCCGTAAAGCATGGTGCTGTAGGTTGAAGGGCAAGTACTTCCAGCACGTGGAACCCATCTTATGTACTTCTACACTAGCGGCCGACCCAGGCTGGCTGACTTGGGCTCACAGGGCTGCAGGGCTGTAAAGTTGCAGTGGAGATGTCCGGGCTTGGTCCGGAGCCCAGGCTCTGGGACCTCTGAACTATCTGAATGCCTCCCCGTCTCTGATGTGTTTATCTTGTGAGGTAGAGCAGTGTGAGTATCCCCATTGGACAGCTGGGGAACCAGGGTGTGTAGAGACTAAGGCCTGGGTTTTAACAGGCATCCAACTCCTATTAAAACAAGAAGTCTGGGGCACAGAAGAGACTGGAATGCTGCTCTCCTGAGTCCCAGGCTAGCACCTGACCACTGGGCCAGCCTGCCTCTCCTCACAGCTATCCTAGGAACCTCCTCTTTGTTTCTGATGCCTCATGCACTCACAGGCCTCAGTGGTGTCCCCTGTGTCCCCTTCCTCTCCCGGGCAGATACCCAGCACTAAGCCTGCTCCTATGGTGCCGGGGTCCTGAGTCCATCCCTGCATCAGTCCCTGTTTCCTTCTAGCCCCGGATGCGCTGGCATCTTGTACCTGAAGCTTCTCTTGAGGCCCGGCACAGCAGCGATGCAGAGGATCCTGGCCGAGCACACCGCTATGCAGGCCTCCACTGTGGGCTCCTTCTTGATGCTGAGAAGGCAGACCTGCCCCACGTAGCCGTCGCTGTTACACACCCACACCTCGTAGGTGTTCTCGGGGCTGCTGTGACTGGGAGAAGCACAAGAGAACTGGAAGGGGGCAAAAGACAAGGAAGTTTCAGGTCATTTTTAAATTGTACTGAAAGGCCTTCATGATGAACGTCTCAAAGCAGCCGGGCCGGGCGCAAAGGAGGGAAGGAGGGCACAGGACAGAGGACGCGCTCTCTCTCTTGGTTTGAATAAAACCAGTTTCCTTTTCAATAGTACGGTTCATCCCAAATGATACACACGTGTCACCGCTGGCATGCAGCCACCTGTGGGGTGGAACATAGCAGCTGCTTAACACCTCACTAAAACACCACCCTATGGTTTAGGACAGGAGGTGAAGAAGAATACTGTTGCCAATCCAAACTGCAGGGGAAATTAGAGATGTACAATGCAATGGAATTTGGTCAGGACACCAGGGCTAATACCCCCACGCCTCTGGAAAAATGTCCCAGGACCTCTAACGAGGAGAAGACCCCACTTCCCTGGTGCATGCATGCAGGGGGGAATGTAGTTGGGTCCTGCTCTCACCTCCGTGTGATATTGGGGGGGCAGAAACATAGATCTGCCCCCCAATATTTCCACTGTGGCAAAAACTAGCCTGTGTTGCCACCCCAGGAGCCACTCTCCGTCCCACAGAACGGGGGCGTTAGTATTGTTCCAGTGATGTGCAGTGATGTCTCCGGATCCCTGGCTTGAACTTCGTCACAACCAAAGAGAAGACAGCGCCAAAGCCTCCCTCCCACGTCTGAGGCTGAGCCCTGCACGTGTTCGGCGGGGAGCTTCCTCAGTCCTGCGGGAGAGCGCCTGCCATGCAGCTGCGATCCCGTGACACACCTTGCTGCACTGATTTTGCGGAGAGCCCAGTAACCTGAGCATACAATAGTCCCGAGCCCTGCAGACAGGTACCCACAGCGCAAAGCAAACACAGTCACAGCTGGCATCACCTGCTTGCTCTGCAAAGCAGGGCCAGGGGCTTTAAAACAGCTGGCAGGGTGGCGAGGGCATGCGTGGCTTGCCCTCGGCTGTCCTGCATCTGCCCTGTGCAGACAGAGGGCTGTCAGATCAGCAAGAGGATCCCATGAAGAAAGAACAGCCCCCGCTTCTCTGCACCTGCAGCCAGTGACGCACCCCACCCAGCAGGCCAGGGGTGACCTGTGTTAAAGAAGGGGCGTGGGTTTCTGGCTGGGTAAAAGACTTAAGGGCCTGTTCTTGTCAGCCTGCAGGAACTGCATGAAACTGGGGCTTGATGTGACCTTTGGGTTCCCATAGGAACACGCCTCTGCAGATCAAGGCCAGTGGGCTGCAGCTTTTGTCTCTGGAAACAACACAGAGCGCTTGGGCCTGCACTGGTCCCCACAACAAGCAGCATCTTGCTCTCGGGCACCAGGTGATGGTGGTGGGGGTAGGGGGAGCGGAAATAGGGATCAGGTATAGTAGAGACTAACAGCCAAACCCAGACCAGGACACAGAGAGGTTTGGGATCTGAATCCAATTTTACAGGTAGCCCTTATGGGCCCAACCTAAAGCTCACTGAAGTCAGTTGGAGTCTTTCCATTCACTCCAAGGGCCTATGCCCATAATGGGCCACACCAATCCCACCGCTCTAAAGAGCCTCAAACTCTGGTGTTTGAAATCCCAATCTGGACTCAGATCCCAGACACCCCAAAATTCAGATGTGGGGTGTGGTTCAGGCTCTTCTCTACAACGCAGTGGGTTAATGCTACACCAGAGGTGTGGGAGGGAGCTCGGGGACAAGGGGAAGGGAACTGAGCAAACTCTGTAGGTCTCGTTATCAAAGGCCAACGTACTTGCATCCCACTGCGTGTCTTCATAATCGGGATCGCCTTCAGGAATTCCGGGTCCAGGCAATTTTTGTGAGAAGCTGGACACAGGAAAAGAAAGACAAGAAAAGCTAGGTCAGCGAGCCTGTGGCTATAGCAGTCAATAGCAGTAATTTCAGACCGCAGCAAATGCCCCAGGCCAGAAGGCTTTGCACAGCATAGAGACAGGGACCACAACACCCACCGCTGAAATGCAGCCACCTCTGGGGTGGAACGCCGCAGTTGCTTAACAGCGCACAACACCACCGGGCAATGGGTTAGTGCAGGAAGTCGAAAATACCGTGTTCAGCTGAAACGGCAGATGAGCTGGGCAGCATGTCTTTTACCAAACTGGAATTTGGCTAAATCCTGCATCTTGGCAGGGGGTTAGACTAGATGACCCTTGTGATCTTGTCTAACTCCATGGGTTTATGATTCTAAGGCACAAAGGATAACACCCCCTCTCTGAGCAAAACATGTCTTGGGATCTTTCAATGACCAGTCAATTTCATTTAGCACAGGGGTTCTCAAACTGGAGGTCGGGACCCCTCAAGGGGTCGCAAGGTTATTACATGGGGGGTCGCAAGCTGTCAGCCTCCGTCTCAAACCCCACTTTGCCTCCAGCATTTATAATGGTGTTAGATATATAAAAAAGTGTTTTTAATTTATTTAGGGGGTCGCACTCAGAGGCTTGCTATATGAAAAGGGTCACCAGAACAAAAGTTTGAGAACGACTGATTTAGCACCTCCCCAACACCACACTGGGGCTTTGATAGACACAGAAGGAAGAGTGCCACCTGATAGATTATCAGTGGAATTTTCTGCAGCAGCTAGGGTTTTCCTTGGCAGTCTCCCAGCCCAGAAGTGACCCAGCCAGCCCCTGCTTAGCTAGCTCCCTAGCCAAGGAAGGACTGATTCTCAGGGATAATACCCTAACTGGAGCCCTGAGAACAACTCCCACTGATATCAATGGGAATCTTCCTACGGCATTTAGTGGGGATCACATCAGGACCCCATTTGCGGAGCTAGTTACCCAGTTTCTTCTTGGTGTCCTCGAAGGCCTGCTCAAAGCTGTGCCGTGCGTCGGGGTTGGGGAACTCGAAGATGAAGGACTCGGTGCCGTCGGCTTTGGTGGTGGTGAGCTCCACTTTGTTGGGCGGGAAGGACATGGTGAAGGAGAGGGACTGCTTCTCTGCCAGCTCCCGGTGTATGGCGGCCATCAGGTCTTTGATGACATCATCCAGGCTCTGGGGACGCACACAGGAACGGGAAGAGCATTTTTAATCTGGAGGGGAAGCGGGCTTCAGGGAGGAAGGATGGTCTAGTGGTTGAGGTGGTGGATGGGGACCTAGAAGATGAGGGTTTAACTCCCAGCTCTGCCACAGATTTCCTGAGGGATCTTGAGCGCGTCACTTAGCCTTTCTGTGCCTCAAGTCCCCATGTGTAAAAGAGGGTGACAGTGCTCCTTTCCTGTCCCTATAGGGTGTCGCTGTTTTGGGCAGGGACTGCCTCTCACTGCTCATCCACAGCTGATGGGGGAGGTTGGGGACTGACTGTGAAGGGCCTTGGAAGGGAAGACAAGGTGCTTACGTTCGATGTGACAGAGAAAGGGGAGCCTGCAAAGGGGCTCAAAGAGGGGGCAAAGCGACGGGTGAAGGAAATGCAGCAGCAGCTATGAGGGGCTATGAGGGGACAGGATCACATTCCTCCAGGCCAGAGAGAAGGATGCTGCGGTAATGGAGGTGCCAGATGATGATGCCAAATTCAGCATCAGAACCTGGGGACTGCCATGCTGCCCCTAGCAACACCAGCCTCCCCTGGGAATCAGGGTCTGATTGGGTCTAATGAGGGTGAATATAAGTGGGGGCTAACGTGCCACAGTGGCTGGCGTTCAAGGAGCAGTCACCTGTCATCAGAGTGGGGATGAAGAAGCTGCCTCTTAACAGCTGGAGTGTGGAGCAAAGTACAAAAATAAGCAGCTCTAAGTGGGCAGAGGATGGCAGATTTGAGCGTGATTTGGCTGGGCGGGGGGAGCCGGAGTTCAGGTTCCAGGGTCTCACCCAGTGCCCGGAGCAGGTTCTGATCTGATGGGGCCACAATCTCATGAGCTTGTCTCACCAACCCCAAAGCAAAACCCCCCCCCCCCCGTTTTTTGGGGGGAGGGGGAAAAAATAAAACACCCCGGGGGGGCCAGGAAAAGGGGGGGGGTGAGATTTGAGTCCCCTGTTATGGCAGACAACCCCTATCGTAATTCTGATCATCATACTCATCCTTAACGCTGATCTAGGAAAAACAAACGGGGCTTGTGGCCTTTTTTTTTTGCTTCTCTATGATGGACAAAGAAAGAGGCTCAAAAGATTTTTGCTTGTTTCTTACATTGGAGACAGCACACACCTTAAGTCTTGTCTTTCCCGTTTTTGCTGCAAGTCTCCTTGGAGAACCAAGAGAATGGGAGCAGGAATTTTCTAAACCACTAGCAGAGGGATGGGGCAGGGTGTGCGTTGTTGGATCTTTAATAACGAGGGCTTTTCTCCCCACTGTTTGTCAGGTGTTCAGGTTAGACAGAGGGTAAAAAACAAACAAGCCACAAAAAGGGCCAGATCCCTCGCTGCTGTAAATCAGCGTTGCTCCATCAAAATCAATGGAACTGCGCCGATTTCTTCCTTGCCTGAGCTGCTGAGGTCTCACGTCAGACCCTGCTCATTCTCCAGTCAGACAAAGGGAGAATAGAGTAGACAAGACCTTAGTTACTAATTTCATAAACCAAACAAGGGAAAAATATCTATCAGAGAGGTTACAAACCCCAGTCCCCCACGGGCCACTGGATTGTGTTAATCAGAGCCTCACGATTAAAGCCATCTAGACAGCTCTGTACAGGCTGGAGTCTGGTTTCTTTCATGGGAGGGTCAGTCTGTTAACACTGCTCCATGAGTTGCTTGTGAGCTGTGTATGTGCCCAGGCACTATGAGCTACAGCCTTTTACCCTCGCTTATATTGACTTACCATGCTCTATGAGTATTCCCAATACAGTCACTGGGCACACTCAGACAGTATGGGTAGAGATCAGACTGGATGATCACAGTAGGTACCTGCTGGCTTTTAAATCTATCCCGCAGCACTCCCCCATCCCCCTGGCATATCAGAATCCTATCTGGCCCCTTTCCTGCATAGCCCATTAACCCTGCCCCTCCTTGGCCTGTGATAGCCCCTGGGCTGCAGGTGCTGGTAGGGTAGACGGGGTGAGGGACTCTGCTTAGATCCCCTTTAACCACTAGTGCTGCCTGCCGAGCGCAGCCGAGGAAGGAGGCTGCAGCACTTGGCAAAGCAGCTGCTGGGAAGGTTTATACAAACATACAGCAGGCTGGGAGCTCAGCACTGCATGGCTTGGAGATGGAGAGAGCCCTTGTAGGGGGATCAGGTCGGGCCCTCCACTGAGAACCTTTCTGAAAAACTCTGGGTGCGATCTGGCCCAAGGAGCAGTATTTCTAGGGTGCCCAAGGATGGGTCATCTCGGGCCCAGCTGGCCCTGCAGTGGTCGGACAGGGCTGATTCCATGAGCCTGGGAGATGGTTTAAACCGGAGCCCCCAGCCCCTGGCTGTCCCCATGAGGAGCCTGCCCTCACCTGGTGGGGGAAGCTGAGTGTCTCGGAGAGCTTGCTGACTTGGCCCAGTGTGCTCAGGTCCTCGTCCAGGCGGCAGATCGTTTTCTGGATGCTCTCGCGGTTGGTGGACTGGGAAGCCCCTGTGTGTCAAACAGAGCGACAGGGCACATCAAGCAGCAGCTGTGCTGAGACGGTGGGTGGGGGAGGATGGATCCCAATACTTCCCCCGCTCAACGTTTCATTTAATTCCTTCTCCCCCTGGATTCTCTACTGCCACATACAAACCGAGCCTCACCCGGGTCTCACTCCAGCTCCCCTCCTGTTCTCCAGCTGCTGATATTGTTAGGGTCACACAAGACCCCATCCCCCACTGACTGCTAGGCTACCAAGAACTTCTGTACAGCTGATCTCGGACCCAGCCTTGTCTGGCCTCAGGGTGCAACCCCCTTTCTCTGGCTCCCCTGTCCCCCTGCTGTATCTCTGCCCGGCCACCAACATAAATCAAATGGGCCAGCTGACCCCGACCCCATGCTAGGGATCTTCTGGGGCTGCCCTGCTCTGCAGGGCTGGGACTGGGACATACTCTTCCAGCCCCTTGGAGGTGCCTGCTGTGCTAAGTGGGTGAAATTCACCCCAGTGCAAAGGCCCACTTAGGTCTGCACTGAGACCATTGGATTATCCAGGAGCTGGAGGAGGGCACGCCTGCAACATGAATATCAGCTGGAAATGCAGGCCCCAGGGGCTTGTTCAGCCTGTCAGCTGATGGGGCACAAACCCTGTGCTGGCCTGCACGTGGGTGAATTTAACCCAGAGAGGCTAGGCCATTACTGCTCACGGATCCCTTCTGCCAGGGCACTTCAGGGTTGTGAAGCCCTCTGGGAGGGCTGCTGTGATGGGCATCAGGCAGCTCGACTCCTCCCCCACTTTCTCCCACACTCATTGTCTGCAGAACATTGCTGCACACAGCAGCCAGCTGGCTATGCTCAGTGTGAGGGCTGGGTTCCCATGCACAGAGTGATTCCCACGCGGCAGAGCCCCTGCTAGAGTCTTCAGGGCCCATGGCTCGGTGAGTCATTCCCGAGTGAGGTAGCCTCCCCCCAGCTGCCCTGGGCCCGCTTGCAGCACTGGTCCCCGGATGCTGGAGCTTGGGGGCTTCCTGAGAGAAACTGACGCAGGAGCCGATGCCCCCTCTGGCGCCAAGGGATTAATGTGTTTACACCATCAGGAGCCCTGGCCAAGGGAGGGCCAGCCACTCCCCCAATCCTTCCACCCACCCACTCTGAGGAGGAGCCAGTCACTAGGGCTGCAGCAGCTACTAAGCAATTACACAGGGGTAAGGCCTGGGGAGCAAATCCACTCCCACCCTGTGGCCCGGGCTGGGCGGACTGGCCCCTAATAGCTAGCTGAGTTACTCAGGCCGGGTGCTGGTGAGAGGACTGGGGCCTTGAGGCACAAAAACCTGTGATTGTTTTCATGAGGGTTGAAAGGGGCTATAGGACCAGATTCTGGCCCCTCCCTGCCACTCCACCCCCATCTCCCCAGGGCCATGGCAAGGATGGGAGTGGCTGGAGTGCTGTGTGCTCTGGCTATTTGGGGTTGCAGGGGAGCCTGTGGATAGCTGAGCATTAGAGCAGACTCCAGGGTCTGCATCAGCTCCAGGAACTGCTCAGAATCTGGGTGGCGCCCAGGTGTCCCCTTCGGCCCCCCGCGGCCTGGCCCGGGCCTTCTGGGAGACCCTGGCCCACTGTCTGTTATACAGTTTGCCCTTTGTTCCTGTTCTCCCTAGAAGAGGCCCAGTTTGGAACACAGTGGTCACCCTGCACTAGCCGGTGCTGGGCAGGAGGACAGGAGCCCTGACACATGCGTGAATCACAGAAATAACAGATGGAAAAGACTTGCTGGGCCACCTGCTGTGTCCTCTGCTGACATTTCCGATATGTAGAGAGGCTATAATAGACATTCCCAATGCTATATCTTCTACTGCTTTCTGCAGTCCAATATGAAATGCACTGAACGGTTCAGTTATTTTGTATGCATCTATCGCTAAGGAAAAGATACAGTAGCATGCCCTGGGTTGCTAAGCTGCAAACCACAGCTACTGGGAACTTCACAGAAACTGAACTCAGATCCTCCTGCCTCGAAAGCACAGGCATTTGCCACTTGAGCTAAAGAAGAATCTCCACTAGCTGCTGGCAGTGGAGGGCTTACGACACACAGTCAAGAAGTTCTGAGTCTAAACAGCAGAGGGCAGTGATGCACATCGGTAGCCAGTATTTAACTCAATAACTGAGTGAGTCGTCTGCAAATCCCTATGAGAATACTGAAGTGTGCGACAAATAGAGCCCAGCACTCCAGTAAAAGTTGCATCTCTGGAGCTATATGGGGCTTGGTAGTTATAGCATCTGGGGGGGACACGAGGGCTTGTTTCTCAGCTATTTAAATGTTCATGTTATTGAAGTTTATTGTAAAACAGCTGAGCACAGCATCTGTCCCTGTAACAATTTTGTTAAACACAGCACAATACAGCACTTTACATTGGGGAGCTACTCGATGTGTCTTCGCTCAGCATGGACAGAACAGATGGGGGACCCTTTGCTGCTGAGCCAGTGTAACAGGCAGGGGCTCGGAGAAAAGGCTCCCAAAGGTGGCATATTGTAAGCACTTCGGGGCACAGGCTGTCTTTTCGTTCGTTTGTGCAACGCTAAGCATACCAGGGCTCTGATCTTGACTGGGGCTTCCGGGCACTGCTGTAATACAAATGATGTCGGTACAGACCTTTCACAATGTCGACATCCTCCAGGGGCAGTTTCCAGAGCAGTTTGTACTTGCTGGCTATGTCTATAACACTGGCAGCCGTGTAACTGGAAAAGAAAAGACATGAATGAATTCCCAGAGCGCAGTCCTGAATGCGACCACTAGGTGGTGAGGGTGGCAAGCTGAAGAGAGCCACAATTAACAATTAACACAGGAACTGATCACGGGCCTAAAAATAGGGCCAGCAGCTGGGCTGTCTTGGCAGGATGAACCCAGAGTGCGTCACACCCATCTCTTTTCTCATGCTCGGCACTTCGGGGAGTTTGGGTCCCATCCCTGCCTGCTCACGGGAGCACAGCACACAGGCCGGGCACGTTGCTGTGGATATGCAGGTGTTTGGAGTCTGGCTCCCGGGGTTTATTACCAGGATGGGGAACAAGGCTGGCTTTGGCTTTAGCATTTCAGGGGGTCCCAGCCGAGTTAATCCTCAGGCCCCAGCCCATACCTCCCACAAGGCCCATCGACCTGCTCTGCCTCAGCGTGGCGGGCAGAACGCCCAGGGAGCCAAAATGCCACCCTTTCTATTTTGGGATGTGCGCGGATCCCAAAATAGATCCCAAACGCCCAGCTGTGGGGAGTGCTGGGACTGAAAGGGGGAGAGAGAATGGAAGCCACAGGGAAACAGCAAGGAGGAAGGGAAATTGACATCCCTGGTTGGGCAGATAGGGACCAATCCTGCGTGGCATTGAGTGTTCTCAACGCACTGTGAAGTCCGTGGGTCTGATCCCACCCTACAGACGTATGGGGTGCGGGGCTCTTGCAACAGCCCCTGGCACCCACAGACAGGGATTCTCTCTGGGCTCTGCTGGGGGACTCCAGAGGAATCCCCCACCCCCAGGGCAGGCTAACCAGAATGCTGGGTCCCACCCCCTCTCCAGCCACCCTGGCCCACTTTCTGCCCTGTGCCAGCCAGCTCCAGCCCCCGCAGCACAGCGGTGACTGTGAAGGGCTGGGCCATTGTACCCCTGCCCTGGGCAAACTTGCCATCACTGAAGGCCTGGGTGTTGTGATGGAGCTCAGTCCCTCGCAGGATTGGGCCTGTCCTGTGTGTTTAGAGACAGTCTGTGCTGGGGAAGGGCACGTGTGCAGTTGACCTGCCCTGCTCCAAATAAATCGGTGGGTGCGGGCCGGAGTGGGCAAGAGGCTCAGATGACTTTGGACAGTACATGGGGACCAATTCTTCCTTGCTGCCCCACTGGAGCCAATGGCCTGGCCTGGGTACCCACAGAACACGGTCCATAGGGCAGTTCTCCATTGGGGTCCTTCAGTCTGGACAGTGTTTGGATTCTTATAAAGAGACAATCCAAGCTGGATCAGAACCAGCCCAGGGGTTCGGGCTTAGCAGAGGAAACACCACACACCACAGGTGCTGGTCCCAAACTGCCTGCCACTCAGGGGAGGGCCCTGGGGTGGTTGGGTTGGGGTGAAAGCAGCTGTCTCTGGGTGTGCACATGTGGCCCCCATCCCCACGGTGGCAGACAGTGGCACTGGGCGAGCCCTGACCCTCTCTCCAGGCCGATTGCTGGTTTACTCACAGGCTCACGGAGCTGCGGCGCAGAGAGCCCGACTTGCGCTTCAGGGTGGTGCAAACCAGCAGGTCCGTGAAGAGGAAGAGCGAACGGTCCTTCTTCCCACCCACTGCCTTCTGCATGGCAACAAGGGGGGGGAATTAACCCTTTCACTCCCCAAACCCAGGTGACGGCAATACAAAGAAAAAAAAGCAGCACATTTAAAGGCAAAACAGGTTCTGGCTGATGCAGCATCAAAGTGAAGGATCTGGGGATGAGAGGATGATTCTGACCCCCCACCCTTGCCCGATGGACACTGGACTGCAGGGTACAGGCTAGAGATATTTTTAAATGGCTTGTCCATGAGCGAGCCAAGCTCAGATTTGTTTGTCCGACAAGACAATATGGTTGCCCCAATATTGCTTTTTGAGGCCAAGATGACATTTAAAATTCAGTAGTTATGGGACAATTCTCAAGCTCACCTTCTGCTCAGCCCTTATTTCAGGCTCAGCCTCCAGTGACGCCAGCGGGAGCTTAGCTGGAGTAAGAACCTCTGGATCTGGTGAGCCCTTATTAATAAAGAGCCACCTTTTGTAGGCACCGGATTGACGTTGCCAGGCTTGTGTCCGGTGTATAGTACCTGTCCTGAGGGCCAGGACAAGCTGCTGGGCTGATCTGAGTCTAAAAGTCCCAGGTGCACTGACTGCTCAGCACATCCTGCCTGAAGCTAAAACCGAATGAGCCGCCTGCCTCAGCTTCCTCACACCTGCCGCTCACTAGCAGCTGCAACTCACCTGCCACATTCAGAATTAGTCAGGACAGGGCCCGAACAGTCAGCCCGAGCCTGACTGCAGCAGAGCAGCTGGCCAGGCTGGCAAACTGTCCATTTGCAAAGGAACTGAGGCGGGAAGAGGCCAACTTTCATCTGCACTTCAGGTCAGGCACGCTGCTCCGTTAATCCAGAAGTCCTGACTCTCAGCAATAGCCGCTGCACCTTGGTGCCTTACTAGCCTTGTGTGGAAGCTGGCAATACAGGCTCAGGGAATTGAATCAAGGCTGGAAAGACGCCATCACAATACAGTAGGGTGTGATCAGCACATCAGCAAGGCTGCACAGCACGGTCGGCGGGGTTTGCTGAGAGGAGGAGAGTGGAGGGGGCGGCCTAATCTAGCACGAAGGGCAGGTGGAAGCAAGGACCGCGGTCGGAAGATGGGCAGAGCCTGTCTGAATGAGCAGCCTTGCTCGTCGTGGCCTGAAGCATGTTCGTGGTGCCTTGGAGCCGAGCTGGGCGACAAGACATCACTCGCTCTCTGTCCTTGCTCTGCAGGCCCATGACAGATGAGATCCACAGGGGAGCACCTGAGTAAGCGTGTGGCTGCAGCTCCTGATCCTTAGGCTGCACTGGGCAGGTCCTGCTGAGCTATGGAGAAGAACAGTCTTCAACACCAAGTGCCCTAACCACTGCGATAACCTACTGTAAGGTGCATCTAATGTCTGAGGCCATTACTCCCATTTGCAAGCGCTTGGGCAGAGGCCGGGTCTCCCCTGTGTTTGTACAGCACCTAGCCCAACGGGGCCCCGATCCGGATAGGGGCTCTGAGCGATACTGTAACACAAAGAAATAACCACAGTAGGACCACAGAGTCATCCTAGAGATCGGTGATGGGAAGGACCGATTACTGTAAGTCACCTAGCTCATCCCACCTCCAATGCATGTTCGCCCTAAGCCCTCTTGTTCAGAGCTAGTCAAGTGATCACAGACACCACTGTTTGCTGTCATTTGTGGGTCATCTTGAGTCTTTGGATGGTCGCCGGGCATTGCCGAAAACGCTGGCAAATCCTGACAGTTCCTCCGATCACAGCACAAACTAGTATTGTTGGAAGATTTCACTGAGATTTGTGACTTCTTGTTCTACTGCTTAGAAAATGTCAGTTGTTCTGTTGGGGCAGTGAAGAAATAAAATCATGTGACTTTAGTAACTAATGAGACTCTACCAATGGCAGCAACGTACGAAATTAACGGTTCATGAACCAAAATTGGTTTGCAAAATCTATTTGGCATCTGTGACTGACAAGAAGTGGAATTAACCTGGGAGCAGCTCGTGAAGGGTAAAACGGGGCCAAAGCAAAGGCTAATATTGTTTGCACTGAGTTATTTGAACTCTATTCTTGACCATTCTCTCTCTGTTTTTGACCAGTTTCTCACCCCACTTACCCATGGCAATAAACCTTTTTCATTGTTCTGAATAACCTGTGTCTTTCCTGCTTGCCCTGCCTGTGGTTCCTCCCAGATTTCTGGGGCTGAGCTCCCAGGATGTGCCCCGAGAACCGTGTCCGTACAAACTCACATGCTCTCTCTCCTTGGCAAATCCAAATGACCTTGGGTCATAGCTGGTGGAGCAGGGCTAACGCATCTGGTGAAAAGGGGCCTATGTATTTTGATCAGCACTGGCAGGCTGGTGCTGCGTTGTTATGGAAACAGCCCACAGAATACTTGACTGGGAAATGCAAAAGCAAGCTTGCCTTTCTCTTGTTTGAAAACCCCTGGGTTTCATTGCATAAGGGCGAGAAGGAGGCAGTGAACATGCTTCTTTTGAAAGCGGCCGCGTGCGCTAGATGAATGAAGGTTTCAGGTTTCTCTCTGTGGTTTTGTAGCACTTTAAATAGACCACACTCCTCCACAGCAACTGGAGTCAGCGAATGACAGAAATCAGGGGGACAAAACTTCTCTCTAGCTCTCCCAGCCCATCCCCACCTGCTCAGGGCTTTATGGTATAATTTATAGATTCAAAGAGTGTAATGCCAGAAGGGATCGTCAGATCATCTATGTCCAACCTCCTATATGTCACAGGGCATTACATGTCACCCACTTTCCCCTATACTGAGCCTAATGATTTGTGTTTGGCTAATGCATCTCTTCCGGAAGGGCAGCCATTCCTTCAAGTGCCTTGTCTAACTGAACTCCCAGTATCTCAAGTGGTGCAACTTTAATCACTTCCCTTGGGACACCAGTCCACAGTCACAGTGCCCTGGATTATCTTGGAGGGGTTTAAGGTATGACAGAGTGCCCCATGGGGAACTAATCCATAACAAATCCCTTGTACCAAAGTTGATAACCTGAGAAGAAAAGGGATTAAAACCTGACATGTTACAGGTGCTTGGGAGACACGTGGTATTAAGGTTCCATTTATAAGTGGTCTATAAAGGGTTAATAAATGATCAATCAATGTTCTAAGCATGTGACAGACATGAGTGGCATACGTTATGAATGGCTAGAAGGGGCTATAGATGGCCATAAACCATGGTTACAAGAACCACATGACCTACCGATATATGGATTTGAAAGCCAGAAGGGATCATCTAGTCTGACCTCCTGCATAACGCCAGCCAGAGAAAGTCACACAGTAATTTCTACATCATGCCCACAACTTCTGTTTGAGCTACAGTACCTCTTTAAAAAAGATATCCAGTCTGGATTTAAAGACTTTCCACCCTTCCAATGGTTAATCATCCACACGGCTAAAAATCTGCACCAGGTTGGACCCAATAACAATCTAAAACAACTGATTAACCATTTATTAATGTCTATTAACCCTCTATAAACAGAACCCCCATATAAAGTCTGATTTGTTTGCATGAATGATGTGGTTTTACTTGCTGAGAAGGACACTGTTAGCAAAATCAGTGCACAATCAAACCCCCTTAAAATCAATGGGAATCTCTTCTCTGACTTATATGGAATCTGGCCCAGGCCCCCAGTGTTCTGCCTTCTAGAAGTTTAGAATGCTTGAATCTTCTTTTCATATTCCATTCCACCTGCCCATCCCAGTTCTCATGCTGGGCCCCGGCACATACCTACCTGAAAGCCACCCATCGCACAATAAACTGGCACCTGTAAACCGTGTTGCCAGCATCACTTGGCATCAGAGAGGCAGGATGGCGCAGGAGTTAAGGCATTCACCTAGGCCTTGAAAAAGACCTGGGTTCAATTCCCTGCTCTGCCACAGGCTTCTGGGGTGAGCTTAGGCAAGTCTCTCTGTGTCACAGGTGGCTATCTGTAAAATGGGGCCAATTGCACTGTCCTACCACACAGGGGTGTCCTGATGCTAAATAGATTGTGAGGTGCTTAGCTACTGTGGTGATAGGGACCATAGATGTACCTTTGATAGATTCAGTTCGCTGACCAAAGCAGATTTCCCCTTCCAGAAAGTCACAGGAAAAGCAGCCCCAGGGTGCTTGCGTTGCCTTTGCTGTACCTGTTCTGCGGCTAAACAGGGTCTGTGCTCTGGTGGAGACTGTCACTACATTGCAGAAGGGAACACCCTACATGGCAGAAACAAGCTCAGCAACAGCCACAGAGCTCCCTCCCCAAACTCCAGGCCTTGCAATTATTATTCACTGGCTGTATAAAGCACCAAGGTGCACTTGACTCCAGGGTCTGGCGATTCAGGGGAGATCTACCCTCTGGGAGCCTTGTGTACTGCACTTGGCTCTCTGCTCTGCACACGTCGCTGCAAGCGCTCAGCAAGCCTGGAAGATGACCTCGAAAGCTCCCATTGCCTCTGAGAGAGGTCACGTCTCTGAGTCATGAGGCCAGGCGCGCATGGAAGGGGCAGGCGAGGACGAGGGGCAGTGATGGTAGACAGGGAGGGCGGCTCTTACCACTTCCACCACCATCTCCTGGCGTAGGAACCTCCGGAGCGGGGCCTGGAGCTGCAAGGACAGAAACAAAAAGAGTTGTGGGAGGCGCCACGTGTTCTGTCGGTCTCAGTGCTAACATCGGAGTGGGCATGATAATGCGGACAAGGCCCTTGCTGTTAACATGGAAGGGATTGATTCAGGACATCACAGCAGCAGCAGGGTTTTAAGTACTCCTCTGTGCTCCGGGACCATCTTCCAACAGAGGGGCTCACCTTTATGAACATGACTGCACTTAGGACGGAAGAACCCAATGCACAGCTACAGACTAGGGACCGAATGGCTAGGCAGCAGTTCTGCGGAAAAGGACCTAGGGGTGACAGTGGACGAGAAGCTGGATATGAGTCAGCAGTGTGCCCTTGTTGCCAAGAAGGCCAATGGCATTTTGGGATGTATAAGTAGGGGCATAGCGAGCAGATCGAGGGACGTGATCGTTCCCCTCTATTCGACATTGGTGAGGCCTCATCTGGAGTACTGTGTCCAGTTTTGGGCCCCACACTTCAAGAAGGATGTGGATAAATTGGAGAGAGTCCAGCGAAGGGCAACAAAAATGATTAGGGGTCTGGAACACATGAGTTATGAGGAGAGGCTGAGGGAGCTGGGATTGTTTAGCCTGCAGAAGAGAAGAAGGAGGGGGGATTTGATAGCTGCTTTCAACTACCTGAAAGGGGGTTCCAAAGAGGATGGCTCTAGACTGTTCTCAATGGTAGCAGATGACAGAACGAGGAGTAATGGTCTCAAGTTGCAGTGGGGGAGGTTTAGATTGGATATTAGGAAAAACTTTTTCACTAAGAGGGTGGTGAAACACTGGAATGCGTTACCTAGGGAGGTGGTAGAATCTCCTTCCTTAGATATTTTTAAGGTCAGGCTTGACAAAGCCCTGGCTGGGATGATTTAACTGGGATTTGGTCCTGCTTCGAGCAGGGGGTTGGACTAGATGACCTTCTGGGGTCCCTTCCAACCCTTATATTCTATGATTCTATGATTCTATGAATTGCTCCTCAAACCCTCCCTGTAGGCGAGGAGCATGAAGGCCTAGCCACAAAGAGGAGAAATCAGGCTAGATTGAGAGAAGCAGGGTTGGACTGGGGTGGCCCAGAGACAACAGATAGGAGCTGTCTTAGGAGAAACCAGACAGGAGTATCTGAGTTTCTGGAGAAACCGACAGGGGCCAGCTTGGCCGGATACTCTGGGTAAAGCCACTGGTGTCAAATTACCCCTTCCCCAGGGCTAGCGGTTAGTTGTGAAATTCAGACTCAGAACTAAACTCCAGCAGGGTTCAAAGAAGTTCAGATCTGGGGTTTCGCTTCAGCCCCTTGCAGAGTTAGGGAACAGCCGTCGCGTTCCAGTCCAGATCCACAAGGTCCCAAAGCCTGGGTGTGTTCGGACTGGGGTGCGGCCTGGGCCCCATCTCATGGCAGGGTGAATCAGGGGCTGAAACAATCAGTGCAGGATTGAGAGACAGAGAAACGAGGTTCGAAGGGGCGTGTGTCCCCCGACGCAGCGCTGGGCCGGACTCTCAGCTACCACAGCTCAGCCACTCGCCCAACCAATGGACGCCTAGCTAGGGCTACCTTTTTAACCGGCCTCTAGCTCGTGTCCCTGAGAATGCTACCTGGGGCCACTGCCCTCTCCATACAAAGGATGCGGGTAGCTAGTGGTTTGCCTGGAGCGCTGCATTGCATACGTACATCCTCCATCCCTTCGATGTGGGACTCGATCTCCTGCACTATCCTGGCGTTCCTCTCCACCTCCTCGGCGCTCTTCATCCCTTTGTTTATCTTCTCGGCCACTTGCTTGATGTTCCTCTGGGCGTCTATTAGGAAGGGGTGGTCGGGGTGGTCCACGGGCGTGTGCTTCAGAAGGTCCTAGCGGAAGAAATATTGAAAAAAGTTAAGGTACCCAAAACAGTGCACTGAGTAACAAAAATGATAAAGGTCTAGAAAACATGAGCTAGGAGGGAAGATTGAAAACATGGGGTTTGTTTAGTCTGGAGAAGAGAAGACTGAGAGGGGACATGATGACAGTTTTCGAGTACATAAAAGGTTGTTACAAGGAGGGAGGTAAATTGTTTTCAATAACCTCCGCAAAAAGAACAGGAGTACTTGTGGCACCTTAGAGACTAACAAATTTATTGGAACATAAGCTTTTGTGAGCTACAGCCCACTTCATCGGATGCACAGAATGGAACATATAGTAAGATATATATATACACATACAGATAAGTTAGAAGTTACCATACAAACTGTGAGAGGCTAATTAGTTAAGATGAGCTATTATCAGAAGGAGGAGAAAAAAAAATTTTTGTAGTGATGATCAAGATGGTCCATTTAGACAGTTGACAAGAAGGTTGACAAGAACCTTAACTTGGGGAAATAGATTCAATATGTGTAATGACCCAGCCACTCCCAGTCTCTATTCAAACCCAGGTTAATGGTATCTAGTTTGCATATTAATTCAAGCTCAGCAGTTTCTCCCTGGAGTCTGTTTTTGAAGCTTTTCTGTTGCAAAATTGCCACCCGTAAATCTTTTACTGAGTGGCCAGAGAGGTTGAAGTGTTCTCCCACCGATTTTTGAATGTTATGATTCCTGATGTGAGATTTGTGTCCATTTATTCTTTTGCATAGAGACTGTCTGGTTTGGCCGATGTACATGGCACAGGGGCACTGCTGGCACATGATGGCATATATCACATTGGTAGATGTGCAGGTGAACGAGCCCCTGATGGCGCGGCTAATGTGATTAGGTCCTATAATGGTGTCACTTGAATAAATATGTGGACAGACTGATCAGATATGCTCTGTGCAGGATTAGATGAGATAACACTTAAAACACTGGAGTCAGCAGTAAGATCCCTTTGGGGTTAGCAGTGGGATCCCCTCTGCACTAGTGCTCCCAACAATGCGAGCAGCTCAGCCAGTGTTAGCTATGGCGGGAAAGCTTGGCAGAACTTCCCTAGGGGATTTGAGGCTACTTATGAACCTGGCGGGCTGTGATGGGCCCTGCTGAGCCTATGCTGGCCAATATTTATCTGCTAGTGCGGCGGAGGCAGATATCCTGGCGCCATTATAGACATGGTGGCACCAAGTCTCAGTCGTGCTTCCTGGAACGGTACTGAAGATAGTTTTGTGCCATCAGTACGAGTGGGCCAACCATTTCCAATACCAAGAGCTGACAGCAGCAGTCAGCGGCAGGCCAGTAGACAGGACCTTTGAGTGAGCAAACCCACAGTTGCAGCTGGCAGGGTATCACAGGGAATGAGATCATTTGCCTTTGTGAAAGACTGTTGGCTTTGCCCTGTATGGGAACCAAGCAACAAGCTCTCAGAAGAGCATGGGCTGAGACCCTTCCAAAGGGGACATCCCATAGTGAGAAAAATTCAAAGGACGATTACAGAGAGGGTTTTGCCAGTCATTTCCTGCAGCCCTTCTCATTGCAGACCAGGTCTGGTCTCCCTCAAAGTCCAGCCCTCCAGCATCTTGCTGCTCACACAATGCCATTATGTTGCATATACTGCTCCCTACTTTGTGACTGTCTTCATCAGAAGCAGACAGAAATATCTCCATTACGATTACACACTTTTTTAAAAAGTCCAGCTGCCCCTTTCTGATGTTCCAATGGGGAGCTGAAGGCTCCAGGAAAAAAAACCAACAATATTACACATCTCTCATAAGCCAATCAGGAAACAAAGATTTACATATGTTGTATCATTGGATCATCACAAGGAGATTACATTTTCACAGAACTCAGCTGGAACCAATTGCAATTGCCATCTGGGGTGTTGCAGGGATCCATTGATGGCTGAACATATAAAGTACTGTTAAATACCATCACAGTAGATTCACTGCTTTAGACAATTTTCTGAAAAGACAGACAACATCTTGCAGGCCTATTTCATGACTGCTCCTAGCCAGTCGTGAGACAGGTGTTTACTTTCATACGTAACAAACCAATCTGCTTCATTACTGAAGTCAAATGTCCAGCAGTGGACACAATAGCTAAAATATGATCAACCACTAATTTACAGGGTATGGATTAAGAGTATGGAACAGGTAATCATCACCAGTCGCCCATTCCCAGCTTCTGACAAACAGAGGCTAGGGATACCATCGCTTCCCATCCTGGCTAATAGCCATTGATGCACCTATTATCCATGAACTTATCTAGTTATTTTTTGAACCCTCTTATAGTCTTGGCCTTCACCACATATTCTGGCAAGGAGTTCCACAGGTTGACTGTGCGTTGTGTGAAGAAATACTTCCTTTTGTTTGTTTTAAATCTGCTGCCTATCAATTTCTTTGGGTGGCCCCTAGTTCTTGTGTTATGAAAAGGAGTAAATAACACTTCCTTATTTACTTTCTCCACACCAGTCATGATTTTATAGACTATCATACTCCCCCTTAGTGGTCTCATTGAAACCCTCCTGGGGACTGAGTCTCCCCAGGGGCTGCTCTCACCCAAACAGGAGATAACACCAACTGGGCAATCATGGCAGTGTCTTGCCCAGCAAGGCCAGCTCAGACCTGCTCGGACACATTTGCCGTGGGCCAGCCCCACCTTGATTTGTGCCACCTGAAGAACTGCCCGGGCAAAGCTGCTGCAGAATAAAGCCAGGCGCTCGCAGAGCGCAGGGTGGAGGAGAAGAGTGACGCTGAGCAGAAGGGGCGACTGGTTTCATTGCTCTGCCGGCTGTCAGAACGTTAGTCATTTAAAGCAAATAAAACCTGCTGGTTAATTGGCCGGATATGAATGAAAACACTCCGGAGGATGAGTACTTGGAGTTAATTTAATGCCGCCCACGGGCATCCATCAGGGCAGACGGCAGTGCTGGGGATGGCAGCAAGCCTGGCCACTCCTTGGGGATGTGCGATCTGTAGCAGTGGGAGGCACGCTCCCCCAGGCTGGAGGGAGGCTGTCTGGACAGAGATCGATCTGGCTGCGGTGTGTGCATGCTTTCCGTCGCCATTCAGCTTCCCCTCCCACTCCGTCAGCATTTCGGCAGGTTCCCTAACATCCCTGCTTGTGCAGCGGGCTCCCCGCCAGGAGCTGTTCTGCCTTTTATCAACGGCTGGTGCTGCGTCCTCCTTGCAGCTCTTCCCGTGAACCAGCCATCGAACTGGATGCTGCTTCTCCCCCCGCTAACAGTTTGCCAAGGAGCACGGGGGTCTCCAGCGATCAACCAATCTGCCAGCCACTTGGCAAAGAGCAGTAAGAGCTGGCTTGGGCCAATGCAATGCCCGGCACTGGGCTTTCAGAGGGAAGCGCGAACCCCTCTAGACGGGGAATTGCTCTGGGGGATATGCCCGTCTGGCTTTCAGGCATCTGCTCTCCTTTGGCTCCTGACCACATCGAAGCAGAACGTACAGATTTATGGATCCATTCCTAGCTGATGGCAAGATCCCTGGCACCTTTTACAGTCAACCTCACTTGGCCCCTTAAAGCGGGGATGGCTATTGGAGGTAGGGACCGATCCTGTCAGGTGCCAAGCGCCCCTGGGGAGGGACTGCATGCTGTGCATCCACACTGAGGTCGGTGGGAGTGGAGGGCACTCAGCAATCTGGAAGATCAGGCCCTAAGGGACGAAGGGGAGATTACAAGGCCTGACTCTCCTCTTACTTGCTCAGTTTTACACCCGTGTCATTCCAGTGACTTCAGGGGAGCTATTCCTAGCCTACTCGAGTGTCACTGAGAGGTAGATCAAGCCCTCCAATGGAGCCCATGAACAGAGCATATATTAAAACTTAGTTCAAGCTGGCTGTTTTACTGGGCTCCTTCATGCAATGGAAGGGGAGAACAGGGAGAGCGTAGGGACAGATTTAAAACACAAAAGGAAGAACTGACATTGCTTTTAAAATATATACAACAAAATTACCCATGCCCCTTTAAGAGGAGGGGCGCGGCCAAGGCGGAGCAAATTAAAATTCAGAGGCAAAACCCCACTGGAGGGCGCTAAGCGAATGAAACCCGGCTGCCTGGGAAGTGCAGCTGCAGCATGTAAACAAAATTAAGGAGGGGTTTGGAAGAGAGAGAGAACAGCGGACCCAGAAGCCGGCAGACAGGCAGCTTCACAGTGCGTGTGGGCTCCAGAACAGGCAAACTCTATAGGAAGGGGAAGAAAAGTTGGATGAAGTTCTTGGGAGAAAAGTAGTGGAAACTTTGATTCAGGCCTCCCACAGAATGGTCCCCTTATTCTCTTAATAGCTTGTGGCAAACAACCCACCAAGCACTTCAGCCAGGAGTGAGCCGGAGGCTAGCTGCTCATAGCATGAAATGCTTTGGGAGTGGAGTGTGGGATCTAACATGAGAGGCGGAGCCCTGGCTGGCTGAACTGGGGTATGAAGGAGACCCCAAGCCCGAGGATGAGAAAAGAGATGGGGAATAAAGTGGGGAGTGGTGGAAGCCATTGCAGTCATGCTTTGAGAGGGGCTGTGAGGACTGGCACCAGTGAGTGCTCAGAGACAGGTTTAAATGGAGAGGCCAGGCCAGGGGATCAAGCACAGCTGGTGTTCTGAACTAACACTGGTGAAGCACTGCAATGGGTTACCTAGGGGGGTGGTAGAATCTCCTTCCTTAGACGTTTTTAAGGTCAGGCTTGACAAAGCCCTGGCTGGGATGATTTAGTTGGGGATTGGTCCTGCTTTGAGCAGGGGATTGGACTAGATGACCTCCTGAGGTCCCTTCCAACCCTGATAGTCTATGATTCTATGATTGATTCTAACACACACTGCTCGGACTCGGCTTGCCAGCTCACCATCCCCTCCTTTCAAATCCCTGGGCTGGACTCTCGGACCTGCGAGAGTGATAGATGCAGCTGTGAATGGGACAGATGTTCCCTATAAAGGGGCTGGGGGACTGCAGAGAGGAGCTG